AAAACCGATGCACGAAATAAAAAAGGATTCATTTTGTCAAATGCTTTCTGGGTACATCAAATTTATTAAAGATTCCAAACCAAATAAGTTTACCGAAATTAAATAGAAAGTAGACTTGTGTAATAATAAAAAAAAAATTGTGTCACAAAAAAAAACTATTTCAATTGTAACAAAACCAGTTATTTTAGTTTGAAAACTAAAGTACTAAACCGATTTTGATAAAATTTCTGTGGAACCAATCTGTAAATGTATTCTTTCAGATAAAAAAAAAATTTTCCAAATCGGTTTACAACTGACGGAGTTATGAGGTGACAAACATAAAAAAATATACAACTGAATTGAGAAGCTCCTTCTTCTTGATATAAACTTAATAATAAACACGAATATTCATATTAAACGACGTCAAATTAAATATATAAAAATACATAAGTAAGAAACTAATATACGTACAGTATTCTTCAAAACAAACAACAAATTAAATGTAGACAGATAATAAATCAATAAAATCAATAGACAAAACATACTGTACCATAGACAATTTGCAAAATGGCGTATAGTTTCAGACAAAAGCGCGCGCACTTGTGCAAACTTTTGCTTCTACATTATTATATGTGTTAATTAATTTATTATTGAATGCCAAAGAAACATAATAATATAAGTAAGTTACCCATAATTTTATGTATGACAATTGCTATTGTACAAAATGAATACATTGCAAATTTATTACGTAAATTGTAGCCTTTACTGTCCAATAAGTAGAGGTTGAGTAATATATAGGCAATATCTATATATTTCAGTTACAATACCTATATATTGATCCAATAACGAATATGTTAAAAGTCTGTTATCTAAAAAATAATATTGGACAACAGACTTTTAACATATTCGAAAATAGATATCCTACCGATATGGGCGATATCGAAACGGGTGATAACCTTTTTCCCGCCATCAATATACTGAGGAACCCAATATATAGATATCGGATCGGTATCCGTATTACATTCTTTTTTTTTATACAACTTAGAATGGCAAACAAGCTGACGGCCCACCTGATGGTAAGTGGTAACCGTCGCCTATAGACATGAGCAGTACCATGGACATAACAGAGTACACTTTTTCGCCCATGATATCCCCATGCGTTGCCATTCCTGAGGACTCAGGTGTTATTCCTCTATACCCTGTAAACTCACTGCCATATCCCACCCTTGAAACCGAAACACAGCCATGCAAACACAACTGCTTCACGGCAGAAACACAAACAGAACAGAGGTGGTCAAGCAAACGACTTTTGTACAAAGTCTCTCTCTGGTTGTTTTTTTTTTTGTTAAGACGACAAACGAGCATATGGTCCACCTGATGTAAAGCGGCTACCGTCGCCTAGGAACATCTGCAATACGAGAGGAGTTGCTTGTGCTTTAGCCGGCCTTTTAAATGTTTGTAGACACGTTTTTGGAAATCACGGAAATCTAAAATTTTATATCGTTTTATTAATAAACGTAAAATTGCATGGTGGTTATACAAAAAGAACTATGGCTATTGTCATAATTATTTGTATTTACTTTATAACTTCTATATTTATTTTGTTTTATAATTTTTCGCGTCTTTTCAATGCGTAAACACTCATTTTATTTATTAAATAATTAAATATAGATACGTCAAGATACATTGTGTGCGTAAGTATATAGAACACTGATACAACAAAACGAGTCAGCTAATTTGACAATTAGCTGACAAACAGTTGACACGTTTTTAAGACTTGATGCTCTATACTCGTATATTGTTATATCGGCAAACGTTGTTTTACCATATACATTATTTCGAGAACTATACATGAAAATTTATCCTACTACAATTTTTATATTCGATTGCCATCTCGCAACCCTATTGCAGCATATAAAAATTGCGATAAAATAACAGGGGTTGTTCGTAAAAGCGTGAAAATTTTAATTTGTATGTATTTTTCAATGCTAAATCATAATAAAATAAAAATAAAAAAAAATGTCATAAAAATAAAAAAAAATTAGGGGTAGGTCACCATTATCATTGAGGGGCGTGAAAAATAGATGTTGGCCGATTCTCAGACCTACCCGATATGCACACAAAATTTCATAAAAATCAATAAAGCCGTTTCGAAGGAGTTTGGCAACAAACACCGCGACACGAGAATTTTATATATTAGATATAGGTAGTCCACGATTGGACGTGTTTGCCTCCAACTTGCTGGAGTTTCGTCGGATGACCACATAGTGTTTGTGTTCAGAGATTTAAGATATATATGTCATTATTGTTATGTGATTTAAATGTAATGTTACTCCATTTAATTATACATATGTATTACTGTACTGTTTTCCTGAGTGAACGTATTGGGAGACTGTAAAGCTCACACAGTTGATGAAATCCTTTATATAAAATTCTCGTGTCGCGGTGTTTGTTACCAAACTCCTCCGAAACGGCTTTACCGATTTTTATGAAATTTTGTGTGCGTATCGGGTAGGTCTGAGAATCGGCCAACATCTATTTTTCATACTCCTCAATGATAAGGGTGACCCTCCCCAAAAAATTTTTTTTTTATTTTTTTGACAAATTTTTCCATTTTTATTTTATTATGATTTAGCATTGAAAAATACATACAACCTCAAATTTTTACCGTTTTACGTTCAACCCCTATTTTTTAATCGCGATTTTTATATTCTGCAATATGGTTGCAAGATGACAATCGAATATAATAATTGTAGTACGATACATTTTCATATATAGTTCTAAAAATAATGTATATGGTAAAACAACGTTTGCCGGGTCAGATAGTATATATATAGTATATATATATATATATATATATATATAATCTAAATATTGTCTAGTTTGTTTAAAAATTGTCACAATATTGTACACTGCTGTATCCGCTGACATTGATGCTCCTTTCCACTTTGGGTGTCGCTGGAAGAGAACTCTATCAGAGTTAAGCTCGCCACTGTACATTTGATTACCTCTGTCATATTCTTACAACTGGTGTGTAAAATAAATAAATAAATAATCTAAATTATTATTTATTAAATATTGTAAATAAATTAACACATAAATAACACTATTTTTGATTCAGACAATGTACTTATCTGAACCAAAAACAGTGAATAGTGAAAATAGTTCAGAATCTAAATCTTTGAATCTCATATTTAAACTGGCTTGATTAATTCCGAAGTCTGTAAATGCTCGTTTTTAAAAAGGCTTGTTTTATTTATTAATTAATTAATTAAACATCAAATGTGCCTTATAGTGTTTAATATATACCTTAGCTACCTATTAATTAGTTTCAATCTAGCTTTACAATTGTAATTTTAAATTAACTTACAGAAATTCATGTAGCTCGCGAGCGATTGTTGCCTTACACTGCCTTACACTAATTTCCTTATTTGCCTTATTTAGTTAATCTTTGACTTTTTAATTACATTACTAAATAATAGAGCGGAAACGAACAGAGGGGGGGAAGGGATTGTTGGTAAGTAAGTAATAGCGGACTACCAGCCCCATTGCTAACAATATACCCTGTCAGGTCGACCTCCCCGTGGTCTTTATAATCTTTATAATAATAGATAGTATAAATAAACAGTAGTGGTGAGCGAATCCGAATAATTTTGTTATTCGAATAATTAGTAATTACTAATTTCTTAATTCGATTACAACTTTAGTAATATATTTCATTTTTTTATGCAATTTAGGATGGCAAACAAGCCGACGGCCCACCTGATGGAAAGTGGTAACCGTCACCTATAGACATGAGCAGTACCATGGACATAACAGAGTGTACTGTTTCGCCCGTGATACCCCCATGCGTTGCCATTCCTGAGGACTCGGGTGTTATTCCTCTGTACCCAGTAAATTCACGCCATATTCCACCTTTCAAACGGAAACACAGCCATGCAAACACAGCTGCTTCACGGTTGAAACACGAATGGGACAAAGGTACCCAAGCAATCGACTTTTATACAAAATCTCCCTCTGGTAAACTAACGGAGTTATGAAGTGACAAATATAAAAAAAAATACAATCGGATTAAGAGACGCTTTCATTTTGAAGTCGTTTGAAAACCAAAATGCTCAACCGATTTTGATTAGGCGAGTGAATATTTATAGAACCGATTTCAAAATGAATATTCTTCCAAATAAAAAAAAAAATAACTTTTTAAAATGATTTACAATCGGAATTCTGAGTTAACAAACATAAAGACATACAACCAAATTTGAAAATTCCTCATTTTTCTATTCTTATTAACTCCAAATATTTTCTTTTAAAAGAAAGAAAGAAAGAAACTTTATTCTACAGAAATATGCAACTACACCCACACAGGGGTTAAAAAAAATCATATATTAACAATTATAACAAAAATTAAAAAAAAAGTTAATTTAACAACGCTAATAAAGATTCCATAAAATTTTAAAATGCAAAAATAAACTTAGATAGGTATGTATCCACCTAACAGAAAGCAGTGTGACTTTCGACCGACTTAAAAAAAGGAAGTCCTCAATTCGATTGTATTTTTTTTTATATTTGCTACCTCATAACGTTAGTTATAAACAAAAGATTTTAAAAAATCCCTTTTCATTTGAAGGAATGTAGGCATTTATAGATTGATCTCGTAGCATTTTTTTTCAAAATTCGTTCAGTAATTCAATTTTTAAATCGATACAACTGGTTTTGTAACAATTAAAGTCGATTTTGTTTGTGGAACATAATCTTTAATATTTTTTTTTTCTAACATGATACCATTCTCCCTTATCTCTGTCTTACTATCTAGTTATTAAGTATTTTTTATGCATTGAATAATTTTAATACATAATTGAATTTCAATTACTTTTTTTATACATGGCAAACCTATTTAATTATTATTCCGTTCCTATACTTCCGTATAGTATACTATATAGAGTAGCTATCTTATAAAGTCATTTATAAAAAATAAAATTACGGCTGCAACAATTTATAAAAACAAAACTCGTAAAACCTACCTTTTCACACATATCCGATGACATTTCCACAACAACACAACATTATTTAATTATACAAAACGAACAATTAAACTATCCGTTTCTCACTGCACTGGCACCACAGACGGAAAACTTTGTTAAAAAAAAAAAACTACACGTCACCTGTCAAATTTCCGCGGGAAAGTCGACGAAGCGCGAACTCGAGGTTAGAAAAATTCAATTTTGACAGGTGTTTAATTAAAGAAAGCTTATTGATATCAACTGAAACATGGTACGCGATCCGCGAATGCCTGTACCGACTGGCAAATAAGGCTGCCCACCCCCCACTACCGTAGGCGTGGCTTGAGCATACCCATCGGAGGGCGGAGCGCCTTTTTTCCATACACCTATTTATACAGGAATACTTAGTCTTATTTTCACGTTCGGCAGTTTATTAAGTATAACGTTTGTTTGTTTGTTGTATTTAAATATAAGTAAAGTTGTCATTTCATCATTGTACGCGGTGACGGTTCGTTTTATTTGTGACGTAGTTTTCGTCTTAATTCTGACAGGTTTATTATTAATTCTTGTTTTTTTTTTTGACTATATTTTTAATTTTTTTTTTGTTAATAAGGTTTGTTCCATTAGGAACGGGCTAAGGCCAATAACCATTCTGCCTAATCTTCAGTAGGTACTATATTTTTTAAATTCAATCTAGATAGGGATGTATTTTTTTTTTTTTATTAAATAATATTTATTTATTCTCTTTTATAGATTGATATTCTAAATACAAAATATGTAAATATCATTTAGAATATATTGAAGCATAAAGTATTAAAAATGACATAGATAAAAAATTGTTTCCTTTTTTAACGATAAAAATATTTTGAAATATTATAGAAATATAAAATACCATACGGGCGAGATTTGAACCCGTACTCCTAGCATTATAAACTTTCAGACTTTCACGCTAGCTACATATTTTACAAGAGACAGGGATTTTATGTAAAATGTGATCATTGATTTGTATTATCTCGTAGTTGTTTGTAGTATCTCGTATTATTAGTTGTTGATTTAGCCATAGTCATATTTCTAATTTATTTAGGATATAGGATCACCAACATAAGATACAGCAAAGTGTTTCAATACAATACACTTGTGGATTAGACATAACTGTTCTCGCATTTAGAGGCATCCACAGCATGCTTTGTGTTTGAGAAATATTAAAATAAAAACAATATATATGTATGTATATATATATTTATATATGTATGTGTATGTATATATATGTATATATTTGGATGTATGTGTTTATTTATGTATGTGTATATGACTATGCTGTCACAGATATTTATTTTTTACAGATAAATTTTTTTTTTAACGCGCCACCTACCTATTTATGCTTTAATTCCTTCTACCCAAAGGTTGTCTGGAAGAGATTGCTTAGCAATAAGACCGCCTTTTGTACTACACTATACGTATTGAAAATTGTTCAACAAATCCTGTCATGTTGATGCAATAAAGTGTTAAATAAATAAATAAATAAATAAAAAAACAGTAATTTGTCAATCTTTAAAATCTAAATTTACTAATACAATAAAATTGTTCCTAAGCAACGTCTGTACATGGAAAATATTTATTTATTTATTTAACTCTTTATTGTACCACAAACATAACAATATAAGTACAATGACAGTTAAGTAATTCATACTTGTTTACTATATTTTTAGGTTTTTTTTTTTAATAAATATCTAATAATGGTATGGTAACCCCGCCTGCGCTATCGGTATACACCGGCGGGGCACCAATGAAGGATGATGGGTGAGGATGAAAGCAGGCCAGTTAGCCCATCGTGACGAATTCAACAAGAATTGTTCACGATGATTTCCAAGGGGAGTCACGTGGAGGTCGACCTAATATTGCTAGCAATGAGGCTGCCAAACTCCATTGCTAACGATCCCTTTCTCCCCGTTTTTAGAAGGTTATCTTGAACGAAACATCATTGTTTTCTCAATGTGATTATTTCTTGTAATTGTTTATATTTATAATAAGTTTACTATTGTAATCTTTTGGAGGAAACAATAAAGAGTATCTATCTATCTATTGTACCGTGTAAATTAATATAATTTATACGGTACAATGTTAATTCCCTGTAATGTGTACCTATTGAAATAAAATAAATAAATAAATTCAAGTGAAATACAGTAACATAAAGTGCAGATATTTGAGAAATATTATGACATCAAATTATATCGATGTTTTAATATTTTAATTTTTTATTTTATTCGACTTAGAATGGCAAACAAGCTGACGGCCCACCTGATGGAAAGTGGTAACCGTTAAATACCTTTATCAAATAGTATGTAAAATTTAAAAAAAATTGTACAGGATAATTTTTTTTTTTTTTTTTAATAATGAAAATGTCAAAATATTTTAATAGAAATTCTTTTATTGAATAAAAACATAGTAAATGCACCGCCTACTTAATTATCTGATGGTTGACTGGTAGAGAACGCCATCAGGTGTTAAATCCGCCATATGTACACTTATATTAAGTAAGTATATAACTATGCATTGAAGTTTAAATAAATAAATATTTTTTTCAAGAAGCCAATTGTTAATTCGTGCTCTGAGGAATCGTTCGAATTGATACCCGCTGCTGATTTTCACCACCGTACAACCCGCCACAAACCAAAGTTTCATCCCAACCATCTGGACGAGTGGCGGTCTTCCACCGTGCGTTTTTCAAGGCACTTTCTTCCACGCACAACTAGAGAGAGACTTTGTACAAAAGTCGATTGCTTGGGTACCTCTTTCCAATTCGTGTTTCAACCGTGAAACAGTTGTGTTTGCATGGCTGTGTTTTGGTTTGACGGGTGGGATATGGCGTGAATTTACAGGGTACAGAGGAATAACACATGAGTCCTCAGGAATGGGGGTATCATGGGCGAAACAGTATACTCTGTTATGTCCATGGTACTGCTCATGTCTATAGGCGACGGTTACCACTTTCCATCAGGTGGGCCGTCAGCTTGTTTCCCATTCTAAGTCGTATAAAAAAAACTTATTAAAACATAATACATTCACAAGTTACACCCGTCCACGAGTATGACGGGTGAGCGAATCGTCATTGCATTCAATCGTATTGTACAATAGATACCTACAAGATGCAACATGAATGAGACACCTAACAATGTCTATAGGTAACTTAAACGCCCCACAGTTTAAACGTTCTCACCTTACTCCCCCCCCTAGGGGGTGGCGGATGGCGGAAATAAAAAAATCCACTCAACAGAGGGAGTTTTTTTAATTAGTCAACATTTTTAAATGTAAGTGCCTTTAAGACGGATGCTGCGTTTAAATGCACCAGTTACATGAGCAAGTCAATGGAAATATAGTTAATGGTTACTAGATATTGACAATATCCGATATCTATATATTGAGTTTTTCTAAAACGTTAATGACTACCCATTGCAATATCGCACATACCTACCTAACCATTTTTTTGGGGGGGGGGGGACTGAGAATCCCATTACTTTTTATGTTTCAATTTATTTTATTTTTTCATTATTTACCAAAGGAAATGCTGTATTAAATAACTGAATATTTCATTTAATCTTTTCATTAAATTAAGTGTAATAAAACAATTGAAAAATACTCAAGCTTGTTGTATTTATCAATTGCGAGCGCTCAGACCGAGTCATCATCATCATCTTCCTACCCTTATCCCAACTATCATTTGGGGTCGGCGTAATATGTTTTCCTCTTCCATTCTTCTCTATCCCCAGTCGTTTCCGCATTCACTCCCATTCTGGCCATATCGTCCCTCACACAATACATCCGTGTCTTTTTAAGTCCTTCTCTCCTCTCAGACTCGAGTATTCGATTATTTTCGATCGATTATTTTTTAATGCGTACCAAAATACTCAATACATTATTACTAAACCAATTGACTTATCTACGAAATTTTCCTCTGATGATTAATCCTTAAACTAACTTTTACCCACGACTTCGTCTGTGTGACTTGGAATATACTCACAGACCAGAAAAAGTAGTTATGCCAGTCTCCACTTCAGACATATGCACATTATATACGAAATTTTATAGAGATTGGTTAAACCTTAAATATACCTACCAAGGAGTAACAAACAAAACACTTTAACATCCTATTCCTATCCAATTAATCCCCGTCACATTTCTAAATGCAAAAGTTTGTAAGGATAGATGGATGTTTGTTAATTTTTCACGCAAAAACTACTTTTTCTTTTTTTTATTTATTTAATTATCATGCATAAATACATTAAAAAAAATTGGATTTTTTAGTACCACTTAAACCTCTTGGGATTGTATGTGATACTTTACATTTACTTAACGGGTATGAAAAAAAATTGGTACACGTATAGCTTATGACTTAACTAAGCATATATATTTTATGTAGTTACTGAGTCACGCGGGAAAGCCAACGAAATATGTAAATTATTAATATTTTAATATTAATAAGCATTTTAGTTGAACAGAACCTCAAACTATCATGAGTTCGCTGTTAAACATGGGTAATACGGATAACGGGGGGAGGGGGGGGATTGTTAGCAATGAAATTTGACAGCCACATTGCTAGCAAAATGTCTTATTAGGTCGACCTTTCACGTGGTTTCCCCTAGAAACCATCGTGAACAATTCTTGTTGAATTCGTCACGATGGGCTAACTGACCTACTTAATCCTCACCTACCTTCCTTCACTGGTGCCCCGCCGGTGTATACCGATAGCGCGGATGAGGTTTCCATTCCATTATCATCCATTAAAAAAAACCTTTTTCCGCCATCAATGTTTAAAAGAACTCAATATACGCTGGCGGGGTACCAGTGATAGATGATAGGTGAGGATAAAAAGGCAGTTCAGTTAGCCGATCGTGATGAATACACTTGAAATTCAGCACGATGGTTTCCAGGGAAGACCACAAAGAGGTCGACCTGTTAGGGTATATTATTAGCAATGGAACTGATAATCCGCATTACGACAAACCCTTCTTCCCCGGCGGAAAAAGGTTGTCACCCATTTCGATATCGCCCAAATTGGTCGGATTTTATTTTCGAATATGTTAAAAGTCTGTTGTCCAATATTTTTTTTTTTTTTGGATAACACACTTTTAACATACTCATTATTGGACCAGTATATAGATATTGTAACTGAAATATATAGATATAACTATATATATCTTACCAAATAGGCGACGTGCTGAAGAAGGGCCAAATTAAAAGTACCCGTAACCGGCGAGCGTGTATGAAAAGATTGATGAATGTGGAGGAAGCGAAAGAGGTCTGTTTGAATCGAAGCATTTGGCGTTCCATTGTTTCTGCCTACCCTAACGGGGGACAGGCGTGACAGATATGTATATATACGTATGTATTACTTACTTATATTCGCTACTTTCCGTTCTAGTGGACAAGTAGCGTCTAAACGCAGCACAGTGCAGACCATTAGCGCAGAAAAACGGGGGGAAAATAAGACTTTGTAGTCGTAAAACAAAGATAACGCGGAGAACGGACGGAGGCGCTTTAATTAAACATTTGTACGAGTCACTCTGTACGTCTGAGAGAACTCAGCGTCTCGGCGAGGCTGAGTTCTCATAATCAAGTTGAGCCGTCTACTGCAACTAATTTTTAGTAATATTATAAATGTTATCAACGCATGGGGGGTATCATGGGCGAAACAGTATACTCTGTTATGTCCACGGTACTGCTCATGTCTATAGGCGACGGTTACCACTTTCCACCAGGTGGGCCGTCAGCTTGTTTGCCATTCTAAGTTGTATAAAAAAAAAATGTGAAAGTGAGTTTGTTTGTTTGTTCATTATTTTATAGAGCCTTAACGAATCGACTATGTTAGAGAATGAGGATCTGACAGCTCCATTGCCAGCAATATACCCTGTCAGGTCGACCTCCACATGGTCCCCACTGGAAACCACCGTGCTGAATTCCAGGTGTATTCATCACGATGGACTAACTGACCTGCTTTTTCATTCTCACCTATCAACCCTCACTGGTGTGGGCGGAAAGGGATTGTTAGTAATGGAGACTGAGAATCCTATTGCTAGCAATATATTCAACCAGGTCGACCGCCTCGCGATTCTCCCTGGAAACTATCATGGTTAATTCCTGATGAATACATCATGATAGGCTAACTGGTCTGTTTTCATTCTCACCTATCACCCTTCACTGGTGCTCCGCCAGCGTATCCCATTAGCGCAGGCGGGCTTACCATACATACCATTCATTCCATACAAAACAAAAACGGCTTAATCAATTACTAAGGAGGTAGAGGAAGGGGGGGGAAGGGATTATTAGTAATGGGTTCTAACAATTCCATTGCTAGCAATGTACTCTGTGAGGTCGACCTCCACATGGTCCCCGTTGTAAACCATCGTGCTGAATTTCAGCATTACCATACCTATTTTAACGTCTATCATCCCTCACTGCTGGCATGGTATTATCATTTTTTTAAATTCCCATCATAATTAAAAAACGAACATAAATTTTAATAAAACAAATTGCTCTGTTAATATTCGTTGTTATTGTTTATCGAGTGATGTGAAAACGATTGAGAACAATTTAAACAAAATAGCCGAGTGTCTGTAACAGCTGTGGCTAACTCGGTTATTTTAATTGTTAACATTGCAATGCCCTTTCCCTCAATTAAAACTGTACATAGATACACAATTTGTCATAGACAATTTAATAAAACATATTTCTATGCGCAGTTACGTATCTATGGTAATGGAAGTGATTGAGGCCCTTTCGCGCGCTCGTTTGTGAAAAAAAAAAAGCAAATAAAAATCACTAACGGCTAATGAAGATGTGTATCAGAGCTTAATGACACGGTTGGACGTATCTAAAGCAGTATACCGAATCGTTTCCCGTCCAGTTTAGATAATTATCTTTTGCGCCAATTTGCTAGATAAGATCTTTGCAAGGTCAAAGTGGTACGTGTGGCGCCATCTAATATCGATTAGTCATAACTATATATGTTGCAATGCCATCTGTTATTGAGTAGCAGTATTACAAGTAATAAATAATGACAACAGATGGCATTATCAATACCTAATTTAATATACATTTTCAGTAAGTTTTCATAGATGGTGCGTATTTTAATTCACTAATTCTTAAAACGTAAACCAATGAATACATAACAAGGCAACAAACAAATAAGCATATTTTCATATTTATAATATTAATAAAAATTACTAGTTTAATAATATCAGACAGAGTAGGTATTAAATTTATTTAACAATTTTGAAAAATAAATCACTAACTTTAACCCGAAATTTTTAACGCGTAGATTTTGAAAGTACATAACGTGGGTAAACAAATCGAAATGGCCATTCACGTTGAAATAAACTTACATCAGGTATAAAAACTGGACAGACAGACATGCAGGAGCACACTGAATTTAATGGCAAAAAATACAAAAGTACAGAATAGAGAATTAGTGGGGCGAGGGGAGGGAAGAAGGGATTGTTAATAATGGAGATTAGCATGTAGGTTTGTTCGTCCTCACCTATCATCCCTCACTAGTGCCTCTACCTATTTACCCATTTACCGATTTACTTTATAGGATCACCAACATAAGATACAGCAAAGTATTTCACTTAATATAATTAATTAGTTATTAATTAATATAATTAATTAGTTATTAATTAATATAATTAATTAGTTATTAATTAATATAATTAATTAGTTATTAATTAATGTTATTAATTAGTAATTATTTTATATATTATTATTTAATATCTATTTAAAAATGCTTATTATTAAGTTTACTTAAATAAACATTATTTATTATTATTAACACATTAATATGTGTTACATATTAGTAAGGAAGTAAGAATAAGAATAATTCAAATTTATGAACAAAAAAATAATTTACTTACTATTATAAGTTTGTACCTAAATTGTCAACTGAAATCTAAATAATTTAATTACATATTAGTCTTTATATTTAGAGGCATAGTGTTCAAAATCGCATTGTAATAAAGCTCACATAGTATATATTAATTACAACACCGTCTCCTAGAGTAATGGAAATCAATTTTAGTAGATCACCTTGAAACTGATCAAGCTATTGGTATAAGTTGACTACTTCAATTATATCTCTCGTTATTAAAATATTTTACTATACAATATAAATACCCACTTTTTATTAATGAGGATGAGAATGGAATGGTAACCCCACCTGCGCTATCGGTATACGTTGACGAGGCACCGGTGAAGGATGATAGGTAACGATGAAAAGCTAGATCAGTTAGCCCATCGTGATGAAAACATCTGAAATCCAACACAATGGTTTCCAGATGGGACCACATGGAGGTCGACCTGCCAGAGTATATTACTAGCAATGAAAATGGTAGTCCACATTGCTAACAATTCCTTCCCCCCAGATACCCACTTTCTCGCCGTGCAGTCCCGGCATATAATAGGCCACCCCTTCCTTTCCCGTAGGTGTCGTAAAAGGCAACTAAAGGAAGGCGAGGGATGGGCAGCAGCGTCTCTCTTCAAACATCTCCAAAGCTTAACTGGGGTTGCCAATTCGCCTGCCAAGCATGGCAACTTCTGGCGAAACCCTCAAGGGAGAGGCTTATGTTCCGCAGTAGACAGTTAAAGGATGATATAAATGAATGAAAAAAACAGATACCCACTTAATTAAGAAATAAAGAGAAACTCAGGCACAAACTTATCGATGTAAATGTAAACGAAGTAATAAAAAGGAAAGGATTCCGAGACTTTTTTTTTTATACAACTTAGAATGACAAACAAGCTGACGGCCCACCTGATGGAAAGTGGTAACCGTCGCCTATAGACATGAGCAATGCCGTGGGCATAACAGAGTATACTGTTTCGCCCAATGATACCCCCCATGCGTTGCCATTCCTGAGGACTCAGGTGTTATTCCTCTGTACCCTGTCAATTCACGGTCAAAACCCAGTAAATTGGTCAAAGCATAGCGACTGAAGTGAAATTATAAAAACTAATAACTATCTACTAGCTGTGGCAAAAAGATAAATATTTTCCTATTTAAAAAAATAGTAAATACAATATTATATAAAAAAAAAACTGTCAGATATTGTCATTGAAAGTCCAAGAAACAAACACTGTGCACTCTACAAATAATAAGTAACAATTGAAGTTTCGAATCCGTCGAAAAGAGCCTCTAGAAGTGTTAAAAATCCCACATTACTTACTTATCATAACGGGAATTGTTTTACATAACCCGCCGAGTTCAAGAAGCCTCTCGCACTGCAAGCGCAATATTAACGGACTGGTATATTCACATCGGCGGGTTATAATAAACGAATCCAGAAGGCTTACCTACTTAAATGTTTTTCGAAATTTCGGAGCCAAACGAAACAAATTTGATGTTAAAATTACATAATACACGCCGTTTGGAAATATTAAAAATGTTAAAATATCGTTCCTTTGGACTTTTATGATAGGATGTATGACGAACGTAATGTTAAACTCCATTTATTGGTCCGATTTCGGTATAAACAAAAACACGAAGTTGAGTCCGAAATTTCGGAATTTCATTTCATGGTAGACCCGCTGTTAAAAATCATCTTGAACGGATGTTTTAACTTCCAGAAACTTAAAATAATAAATCATTTATATGATACTCTCCACAACATTTAAATAATTCAAATCATTAAGGTTTGGGGGGAAGGGATCGTTAATAATGGGATCTAACAGTCCCATTACTAACAATATGCCCTATCAGGTCGACCTCCACGTGGTTCCCCCTGGAAACCATTGTGAACAATTCTTGTGAAATTCATCACGATGGGTTAACTGACCTGCTTTTTCATCCTCAGCTGTCATCTATCACTGGTGCCCCGCCGGTGTATACCGATAGCGCAGGCGGGGTTACCATTCCAATATCATCCATAAAAAAAAAATCATTAAGGTGTAATCATCTATATTAACGTAATATTTGCTATTCCATTATCACTCATAAAAAAAAAATTTGTATGTACACAAATGATTTTATTTTTTACTACTTCGAACGATAAATATGATGTAGTCATATTATAATTTATATGTATTGAGATATTGCCTTCAATAATATACATTTTGAACCTAACACGTACGCAATAAGAATCAATTTTAATTATTAATAATTTAACAAAATACCAACATAACAAAATAGTATGCTGACCGCAATCCCGCGTCCATTTTAATGCGTACTTACTCAATAACAAGACGTAGTTACAAGATGTTCCTCTTTTGGTTAACTTTAACTATTTTATTCAGAAATGCGGTGAGTTTATTATTTATATATATATATATATATATATATATATATATATATATATATATATATTATATATATATATATGGCAAACAACTGACGGCCCACCTGATGGAAAGTGGTAACCTTCGCCTATAGACATGAGCAGTACCGTGGACGTAACAGAGTATACTGTTTCGCCCATGATAACCCCATGCGTTGCCATTCCTGAGGACTCAGGTGTTATTCCTCTGTACCCTGTAAATTCACGCCATATCCCTCCCTGCAAATGAAACACAGCCATGCAGACACAACTACTTGTGTGCTGTAAATAATGCAAATAAATTATATATTTATATTTATATATATATATATATATATATATATATATATATATATATATATATATATATATATATATATATATATATATATATATATATATATATATATATATATATATAGGTAGTTAATAATTGGGTTTAATGACTCTATTACTAACAATATACCCTCGGGCCGACCCCCACACGAATCCCCCTGAAAACCATCGTGGATAATTCTTGTGGAATTTACCACAATGGGATAACTGGCCTGCTATAATCTTCACCTACCATCCCTCACTGGTGCCCCGCCAGCGTTACCGATAGCGCTAGCGGGGTTACCATTCCATTATCACCCATTAAAAAAAACCGTTCACGAGTATGACGAACGAGTCAGCCATCGTTGCGTTCAACCATATTTTAAGCACCAACGATCCGGCCCACTACGCCGTAAATATTGTCTTTTTTTCAGTTATGTGATGAGAAAGATGGCGGCGTCGCGCCCAGGGTACTCCTGAACGATGGGAACACCATACCGTCGCTTGGTCTCGGAACATTCCTTGGTTTCGACGAAGTAAGTAACTTGACTTCAAAATTATAATATTTTTTATATATATTATAATAATATTATATATAAAACAAAGTTGCATCCCGTCTGTCTGTCCCTATGTATGCTTATATCTTTAAAACTACGCAACGGATTTTCATGCGGTTTTTTTAATAGATAGAGTGATTCAAGAGGAAGGTTTATATGTATAATACATGCATAATATTGTAGAGGAACACTGATAATTTTCGAGGTTTCTAATGTGATGGGGGGCTGGCGACGCTATTTAATATCAGCATTGCACCTGTGCGAAGCCGGGGCGGGTCGCTAGTTTTATTACAACTAAAAACTACGCACTATAAAAACAAATAAATGTCAATTTTGATATCTACAAATAAAGCAACATATATAACACCTGAGTCCTCAGGAATGGCAACGCATGCGGGGTATCATGGGCGAAACAGTATACTCTGTTATGTCCACGGTACTGCTCATGTCTATAGGCGACGGTTACCACTTTCCATCAGGTGGGTCGTCAGCTGGATTGCCATTCTAAGTTACATGAAAAAAATTACTTTACTTTTTTTATCAGAACGGCCAAAAAGCAGTTAAGGACGGCGAGGTTGAACGTCCAGTAACATGGGCTCTTCAAAGTGGATACAGGTTAGTGGTTCAAAATAAAAAAAAAAAAAAAATATTTAACCACTTAATGCGAGGGTTTTTCTGTGAAATGTGCTCAAGTGGCGCACTGTCGCACGCACTATGTGGCGGTCCTCCACCGTGCGTTTTTCAAGGCACTTTCTCCCACGCACAACCACTCTTTGGAATCAACTTCCAGCAGCAGTATTACCGAACCGATACGACAACATAACCTTCAAGAAAAGAGCATATTTCTTTTTAAAAGGCCGGCAGCACACCTTCAATGCCTCTAGTGTTGTGGGTGATCTTAGGCTGCGGTTGTCACTTACCATCAGGTGAGCCGCATACTCGTTTGCCCTCTGTGTTGTAGAAAAAAAACTAAATTCGAACAAGCGTACAATAAATATGCACTAAGCTCCAGATAAAAATATAAACACAATATTTATAAGTGAGTTATTGAAGTCGCTGGCGGAAGACCCAAAAAGAAACCAATTTTATAAATATAACTAAATTTAATTCTAAAATTAATTGTTACAACAATAAAAGTGTCTTCAGATCGATGTGTGATCCGTAAGTGAAGTTATATCGAATCAAACATAAAGGAAATAGGTATTTTTGCTGCGGGAATTGAAATGCTGTCTCGACGCAGGTGTCTTTCTCGGTAGCGCACCTTCTTGCGTCATGCTTGGTGGTCCGATCCGATCGCCGTTGAGGGTGTGTCGTAATACTTGATAGGTATCTACTATAACAAGTGGCAAAAGGTACCCGGGACAGCGCAAATCGGAACACATTTGATGCGCGAGAGGGTCTCGTTCGAGATACTTAAACCTTCTTTGCATAATGGTGGAAATTTCCATCATAACATTGAATGCCTAAAAATTATATAAAAGAAAAAGTTCACAGTTCTACACTAATGGGAGACAGGCGTGACAGATATGTATGTATGTATGTATGTATGTATATTTATTCATTTAATTTTAGAATGTTGGACACAGCGGCCGCGTATTTAAACGAGGAACAAATAGGGAATGCAATACGCAAGTCGTCGATACCCAGGGAAAACATTTTTGTCGTCACCAAGGTACGTAATTTAAAGTTATTTTATATAAAAAAAAAAAAACTTTTTCCCCTGCTTTTTTGTGAATTCTAGAAGTAGGAAAACAAATTAAATATTTTTTTTTAATGGATGATAATGGTATGGTAACCCCGCCTGCGTTATCGGTATATACCTACGCAGAAATCTTCAACTGTTTCTTAGAAACAGCAATCTGTCAATCAATCTTAACACTAGTTAGATAGATAGATAGATACTCTTTATTGTTTCCTCCAAAAGATTACAATAGTAAACTTATTATAAATATAAACAATTACAAGAAATAATCACAATGAGAAAACAATAGGCGACCTTATCGCTAAGAGAGATCTCTTGGAGGCAACCTTTGGATGGAGAGGGGTAATTATAAACAATTTGGTGGGAGGCACGATGAGAAATTTTGTTAGTTCTAAATATGGGAGATGTGATACATATAATAATATAAAAAGATAGATAGAAATACGAACAACAAACACTAGATTTAAATACAAACTTGCTGTTCCGAAGTAACGTTTAAACAAAGTTAATAGGTCTTTTATGGGAATGGGCATTAAATGTTATTTAAATTTAAAACTATATTATTAAAAAACAATTATTGAACAAAGCCTACATACATACCTACATATCTGTCACGCCTGTCTCCCATTACGGTAGGCAGAAACAATGGAACGCCAAATGCTTCGATTCAAACAGACCTCTTTCGCTTCCTGCACATTAATCAATCTTTTCATACACGCTCGCCGGTTACGGGTACTTTTAATCTGGCCCTTCTTCTTCTCTTATTGAACAAAGCCTATTACATACTAAACGATTACTTGAATGACAAACGTGCATGGTGTTAGTGGATCATGCGCGGGCTTCTAACGACCGTGTAATTTTAGACATAGTACATTTAAACAAATACACATAATGTTAACAGAGATTTAAAAGAGTAGCTGTTGAGTTTGTCGCGGGCTCTTCACAACAGATAACAACTTTCCGAACTCTGCAGTAGATTAAAAAAAATTACGATTTAAAAGTGCTTGTAAACAAGTATATTTGAATAAAGATGATTCGAAACGGAATTTGATTAGACCATTTTAAAAGCTCCACCGACAAGAGCGCAGCTCTTAAATAGGATAGATAGAATTTTTTCTTTATACAACTTAGAATGGCAAACAAGCTGACTGCCCACCTGATGGAAAGTGGTAACCGTCGCCTATAGACATGAGCAGTACCGTGGACATAACAGAGTATACTGTTTCGCCCGTGATACTCCCCATGCGTTGCCATTCCTGTGGACTCAGGTGTTATTCCTCTGTATCCAGTAAATTCACGCCATATCCCACTCTTCAAACCGAAACACAGCCATGCAAACACGACTGCTTCACGGTTGAAACACGAATGGGACATTCCCATTCGTGTTTCAACCGTGAAGCAATCGACTTTTGTACAAAGACAAAATACATATTAGATTTTAAATTAGATCTTCAGGAATACAACTGTGAGAACTGCTTTTGATTTGGTGCAAATGTTTGGGTATGATGCCGGAAAAAACATACAAATAAACAAAATTGAAAAAAAAAACACCCCTATAATAGTTTTATTTTTTGATGGGTGAAAATGGTATGGTAACCCCGCCTGCGCTAACGGGATACGCTGGCGGAGCACCATATATATATATATATATATATATATATATATATATATATAGTTATATATATATATATATCTTCCATGTACAGACAGCGACCAGTTACAATTTTTTATATATATATATATTATATATATATATATATATATATATATATATATATATATATATATATATATATATATATATATATATATATAATGATGCGTTACAAAATTTAATGAACTGGGGTGAATAGGACAATAAGGGCCAATGGCTAGCGCTGAAATAATATCACGCGATTTACAGAAGCCCCAATTGGCTAAACTATCTGACTTAGAAAATGAAGTAATATTTGAAAATTGAATAAATGAATGAGTATAGTTTATTTGCATTATACAATATAGGAAATAAGCGAGACAATTTACAAACACAACGATACAATTGTATAAGTACAGTGAGGCGGTCTTATTGCTGAGAGCAATCTTTACAAGACAACCTTAAGGTAACGGACTAATTGTTGTACAAGTAGGTATGATAGTGCTTTATAATTAAAAAAGCATCTTTTGCAAAAATTTTATACTTACTCATGTAAACTCATGTTTCAGTTAGCGTCCAACAAACAAAGAGATGTCGTGTCTGCCATCAAGGAATCGCTGTCACGTCTGAATCTAACTTACGTGGATTTATACCTAATACACAATCCTGTCGCTTTCAAGGTAATAAAAATCTGTAACCCGTTAACATACAGTTTATAATCGTCTGCATGTGTAACTCTATAATTTAATTGATGATAATGGAATGGTAACCCCGTCTGCGCTAATTGTATCTATACACCGGCGGGACACCAGTAAGGGATGATAGGTGACGATGTAAAGGTAAGTCAGTTAGCCCATCGTGGTGAATATATCTGGATTTCAGCACGATGGTTTCCAGGGAGGACCGCGGGGAAGTCGACCCAACAAGGTGTATTGCTAGTAATGGGTCTACTAATCCCCATTATTAACAATCCTTTCTCCCCCCAACTCTGTGGATTACCTCTATCCCATTCGTGTTTCAACCGTGAAGCAGTTGTGTTTGCATGGCTGTGTTTCGGTTTGCAGGGTGGGATATGGCGTTAATTTACTGGGCACAGAGGAATAACACCCGAGTCCTCAGGAATGGCAACGCATGGGAGGTATTATGGGCGAAACAGTATACTCTGTTATGTCCATGGTACTGCTCATGTCTATAGGCGACAGTTACCATCTTTCTTTCAGAGGGCCGTCAGCTTGTTTGCCATTCTAAGTCTAATAAACAAAATAAAAAAATAAGACAAACGATCCACTGAACTTTTTTTTTTTATTTCCAGCCAGACCATAGTGGATTCGACGTCATAGACTATTTAGACACGTGGAAGGGAATGGAAGAGACGCAACGTTTAGGTCTAACCAAGTCTATAGGTCTGTCTAACTTCAATATCAGTCAGATTGAAAGGGTTCTAGCCAATTGTGTGATAAAGCCATCTGTTTTACAGGTGGAGGTGAGTAAAATTGAGTTAAAAGCGAAAACATAATGAAGTTTTTTTTTTTAAATGGATGATAATGGAATGGTAACCCCACCCGCGCTATCGGTATACACCGGCGGAGCACCAGTGAAGGACGATAGGTGAGGATGAAGCAGGTCAGTTAGCCCATCGTGACGAATTCAACAAGAATTGTTCACGATGGTTTCCAGGTGGAACCACGTGGAGGTCGACCTAATAAGGTATACTGGTACAACATCATAGTTATATGTCAAAAACAAATTGGAAATTTGAATATACCAATAACATTGTATGCAGGGAGCCTGATATTTTCCAACAATCCTTGCAATGTTACATAAAGGCTGCCAATTTGTTACTTTCAAATTTATGGCTGTTATTCTTTTAATGTTTCTAATATCGAATGTTATGCAGGACCTCTAGACAAGTGGCAAGCGAATCCGTCGATGGAATCGACATCGCTAGCGAGTCCGTGAGATAGAATGAGATAGCAACGCCGGATGACTCATTCCAATTTACAGACTAAGTCCTTGCTAGCTAAAAACGGCGCTGATAGGCGAGGAGGGCAGCGACAATAATGAAATAATATTAAGAGAGAGGCTTACCAATATATTTTCTTAAGACGTACACACTACATACAATATGTCAATCAGATAGAAAAACAAAATAGGTATCAAAAAGACATATTCATAATATAAAAATATAATTCTAAAAAAGGTAAACTTGTATGAAAGGAGGTCTGTCGCCAACACTAGCGATGTCGATTCCATCGACGAATTCGCTTGCCACTTGTCTAGAGGCAATGAGCAGTTGTCGGAGTGCAAATTTAATGCTGTTTTATGTAATATTTATTTTATTAATGTATTAATTTATAATCTGTTGCCTTTGCTATAAATAAATAAATAAATTTATAAATATTTTTGGTAGATTATAAAAAAAAATTACCGTGTAGTCCCGGCGTAGAATAGGCCACCTATTCCTTGCCCGTAGGTATTGTAAGAGGCGATTAAGGGAACTGGTCGAGGGATGGGCAGCAGCGTTCCTCTTGAAACATTATCAAAGCCGAATATGGGCTTATAGGCTTACCGAATATGCTGAATATGGGCCGTTACCATAAAAGGGGTTTTGCCAATAGTTGTCACGTTTGACAGGCGGATTGGCAAACGAAGTTAGGCTTTTAGTGATATTTTAACCCTTCTTTGCATGATTTTTTTTATTAGTGAAAAAATCAAAGTGATATAATTCATGTTCAAAATTAAAGGTAAAAATGGTTAAAAAATAAATTTGACAGCTATGTTTTTTTTTTCTGCAATGGACATTAAAAAGGTGTCCAGACACGATCAACTTAAAGTGAACTTGTTCTTTTATATAATTTTTGTGCATTCAATGTTATGATGGAAATTTCTACTATTTTGCAAAGAAGGATTAAGAGGGACGCTGCTGTCCTTCTCTTGACCACAAGTTCCCCTAGTCGCCTCTTACGACACCCATGGGAAAAGAAGGATTGGTCCCTTCTATGCCGGGACCACATGGCGTTTTTTACTTTAATGCAATAACTACCGGTTAAACGTACGTGTAATTAAATCAAAAAAGCTCAACTAGTTGTTTTTCTCGACTGACTATATTAGTTTTTTTTTATATTTTTATTTTTTATTATTTATATATGTATTCTTTTATCTCTTTCTACTTTGTATGTCTATTGTTGTTTGTGTGCTGTAAGTAATGCAAACTTTTTTTTTTTTATACAACTTAGAACGCCAAACAAGCTGACGGCCCACCTGATGGAAAGTGGTAACCGTCACCTATAAACATGAGCAGTACCATGTACATAACAGAGTATACTGTTTCGCCCATGATACCCCCCCATGCGTTGCCATTCCTGAGGACTCAGGTGTTATTCCTCTGTACCCTGTAAATTCACTGCCATATCCCACCCTTCAAACCGAAACACAGCCATGCAAACACAACTGCTTCGCGGTTGAAACACAAATGGGACAGAGGTACCCAACCAATCGACTTTTGTACAAAGTCTCCCTCTGGTTATAAATGATAATAATAAATTATCTATCTATCTATCTAGTTTTGGTATATATTTTATACCTAATAGATTTACAGTGAGAATTCTTAATTTAATTTAATTTAATACTTTATTGTACACATTAGTTATAAAAATATGACAGAGGTAAACAAATGTACAGCGGCGAGCCTAACTCTGATAGAGTTCTCTTCCAGCAACACCCAAAGTGGAAAGGAGCATCAACGTCAGCGGATACAGCAGTGTAAAATTTTTAAACAGCTAATATAAAATTAATTACATTATATTTTATCGTACAAATACACATATACATATACATAAATATATACTTACATCTATACATATACCTACACATACATACAATATACCTACATATATAAATAAATAAATATAATAATTTACTTCCAGGTCAATCTAAATCTAGCTCAAAATAAATTAATAGACTTCTGCAAAGCACATAACATTGCGGTTATGGCATACACACCGTTCGGTGCGCTGTTCGATGCCGGCGACGTACCGCCACCGCCGCGGGTCAACGACCCCATACTTATCAAAATGGCGGACAGATACAATAAAACAACACCGCAAATTGTTTTGAGATATTTGGTAAGTTTGTTTGGTTATTGATTGTTAAGAACTTCCTTGCTTCAATGGCAGGCGATCCTGCATCCCAGCATATATATATATATATATATATATATATATATATATATATATATATATATATATATATATATATATATATAGATTATAACAAACACACTGTGTTTATGCCGTTTCCGTAAAACGCTAACCGCTTCCTGGAAAAGACTTCTGAATGAAGACAAAAAAATTGTCAGAAATGGTACTATGAGTTTTTTTTTTTTTATACAAATTAAAATGGCAAACAAGCTGACGGCCCACCTGATGGAAAGTGGTAACCGTCGCCTATAGACACGAGCAGTACCATGGACATAACAGAGTATACTGTTCCATTCTGTTTACGGTTGAAACACGAATGGGACAGAGGTGGTCAAGCAATCGACTTTCGTATAAAGTCGCCCTCTGTTTTTTTCTTTATTACAGGTCCAAAGAGGTGTTATACCTATACCCAAATCAGTAAATAAGGAACGGATCGAACAAAACATTGACGTGTTTGACTTCGCATTGACTGCTGAAGATATGGAGACATTAGGTAAGATATAGATAGATAGATAGATAGATAGATACACTTTTTATTTACGCCATTTATGACACACGTAAATTTACAAATGAGTTTATACAATCAAATTATTTACACTTTTTAAAATATACAACAAAATATGAAAATATGTTTCCGCCATGTGCGTAGCAGTGACCCAAACAGGCTACAGCTCAGTGATAATTTTGCTTAAAAGCAAAGCACTGATTTTTTTTTTAAATGGATGATAATGGAATGGTAACCCCACCCGCGCTATCGGTATACACCGGCGGGGCACCAGTGGAGGACGATAGGTGAGGATGAAGCAGGTCAGTTAGCCCATCGTGACGAATTCAACAAGAATTGTTCACGATGGTTTCCAGGGGGAACCACGTGGAGGTCGACCTAATAAGGCGTATTGCTAGCAATGGGGCTGTCAAACTCCATTGCTAACAATCCTTTTCCCCCCGCTTTTTTTATATTATATTTATCAATATTAGTGAATCACAATCTGGACTCGACTCACTAGGCTCTGAGCTTAGAAGATTAAAAAAAATATATTAAATCGTTATTATCTGGCAATGATTGTCACTTGCCATCAAGAAGGCCGTCAGCTCATTTGCCTTTTTGTTGTTGCGTAAAAAATTAAACAGAAAAAAAAGTTATTAGGTATTTATAGTCTGTCACGACCATAGACTAAGTCATAAACTCTAAAAACAAGGAATTACATAGAAGGAATGATCAAATAAAAAACTGTAAATCATATGGTCGCCTCCTTTCCTTTCCTCCTCCTTTTATGCAAATATAATTAGTGAAAAGAGGACGAAAGGTGTATCTTTCGTCAGTTTATCAGTTGCTATTTTTTCGATTCCTAACAGGTTACTGCATTAAAATATGTTGTTTTTTTATGCAACGTAGAATACCCCCCATGCGTTGCCATTCCTGAGGACTCAGATGTTATTTTTTTATTTTTTTTTATTTATTTAACAAAGTATGTATATATATATATATATATATATATATAAAAATATATATATAAATATATATATATATATATATATATATGTTTATATTTATTCCTCTGTACCCTGTAAATTCACTGCCATATCCCACCCTTCAAACCGAAACACAGCCATGCGAACACAACTGCTTCACGGTAGAAACACGAATGGGACAGAGGTGCTCAAGCAAACGACTTTTGTACAAAGTCTCCCTCTGGTATGTGTATGGTATCTGGTATGTGTGCCTTTGATACTTTTAACAATAATAAAACATATTTTATATTTATTTCTAGGCAAATTCAACAAGGATTATCGCACTGTACATCCTAGCTTTTGGCAGGAACACCCGTATTACCCATTTGAGAAGGTCGACAAGCCCGCACCAGACTTGTTCAAGCCGAAAAATTGATTTTACTATACACAAGCTTATATAAATCTTTACAAAGGTGGCGCCACTGTACCACAACATAATTAACAGACAGCAGAATATAGTCATTAAAAATATATAGGCAAAAAGTCACTTAAATATTGGTAGTTATTAATTTATTCCCAATTAAAAAAGGCAAAGGAACTAAACCATACAGCCTGATCTTTAGAGAGCGAGTTGTCAGTGTGTCATGGAAATAATTTTTTTTAATTTTTTTCCCGCCTACAGGCTAAAGCATAGATAACTTTTGTTTACATTATAACACATTGGCGCCACTATCGGAATAAATTGGAAGTAAATTTCTTTATTCTTGAGTGTTAAGATAATATACAGTCACTTCTTGCAATTTTTTTACAAATATTTTTTTCCTTATTTTTTTAATGAATCTCAAATAATTTTCAAATCTGATAAAATTATATTAAATAAATAAAATTTTATTAGGCTTTTGTTATAAAATTTGCTTTTAAGTGTTTTTTTTTTTTTATTAATTATGATTCCTTACGAAAAATTAAAATATTTTTTATATTTAATACTTCCTTCCATCTGTTACAGACAACTATATTTAAGCAAATCATTCTGTCTTTGCCTGTTTCATAGATATATTATCATTCCTCACTCACTTATTTATTTAAAATTCCTTTTCCTACATCCTTTTTATGCTAATTAGCTTATTCTGACCTTTAATGTATAATTCCTTAGCTTTCTTTATTCTTCATAATACTTACCGACTTTAAAAAGAAAGTTCTCAATTCGGTTCTTTTTTTTATGTTTGTTACCTCATAACTCGGTCAATTCTAAATCAATTTGGAAAATACTTTTTTTGAATTCAAATTTAAACCATCAGGTTTGTTTACAAACATTTTTAAATCGTCATTTTTTGTTTATGGCATAATGGGCAACATTAGCCCTTTGCTAAAAAAAATACTATCAATAAAGTACTTTTTAATTAAAATTTAAGCCTCCTGTACAAAACACTGGCAGCAATGGTCCTAAAAATGGCAACCGATTGCAATTGAGGAAAAGAAAAAAGCATATATAGGTAAGGTATCGTGAACATAATAATAAAACAAATAAATGAATATAACAAAGTCATTTTAATATTTTACAAACAATAATAAATTTTATCAACAACAAACATTGACTATAAAAATTTATTTTTGCAAATAATTTTATAATCGAGAATTTTAATATTCAACAGAAAAACACTCGACACAGCACGACTGATTTTAGAAGATATTTTTTGTGAATAATTTCTAATTCGATTATAGATTTATATTTTTTTTTTTATTAGAAATCCTTAAAAATGACAAGTAGACACATTAAAATTTTACAATAGATTGCTTTCACTCTATGGTAAAAAAAACAGCGTTAGGTTGTGAGCATAGATAATATATACCTACAATTTGATGTAGTGTCAAATCAAGATATGTCCCTAACAATATAGTATTCATAACATATGTAAAAAATCATATTTTGTGTGATAAAAGTTACCATATTTAATATAAGTACATTAAAAGTTTTATAACATTAATACAATTTTATGGCGCCCGAAAAGCGCGCCATTTTTAAAAATGTAATGAACATAATAATAGAGATGTACCTAGTTACACTTTTTGTACTTCTCTATCTAAAATATAACATTTTTATACTTTTTTTTTAATATATTTTTTCTGAGCGTTTTATATAAACATTTCTAGGTGATGCTCTATCTAAGTAAATATTCTTGATCGAAGACATTAAATGACTAGGTTGTATAACTGTCAAATCTATACATAAAAATGACTTTACATAATAATTATTGGCGGAATACATTTATTTATATTTTATAAAGCGTTAAGAGAGTTTCGTCAGAGAGTAGAATCGTCAGTAGATTATTTATTTATTTATTGTAAACGATAAATTCGCCTTTCAACTCGTCGTCTTGTTGTACCAAACATTTAGAGTTTGCTTCGAAATCGCACTGTTGGGTCGCGGCGTTGAAGAACAGGCCATCCGAGCAGAATCCCACCTGTGGGACTCCATTCAGACACCTCCAATACCGTTGGCAATCATTTCTGTGAACAACGTTGAGTTTGAATATGGAGTGAATGATAGAATGAATTAACAAAAAATTGAATGATATTTTATTAAATAATTAAATATAGATACGTCAAGATACATTATGCTCGTAAATATATAGAACACTGATAAAAAAACGAGCCAGCTAATTTGACAATTAGTTGACGAAAAGAAACGGTTGACCCGTTTCTAAGACTCGATGCTCTATCTAAGACTATGTATGTATTAGTAAGATTTAACTAGGACAAAAGAAACTTACTTGTAAGCGACCCTCGTGGAGGCTGTCTCCACTCGGTGACAATTCAATATGGAGTCATGAGCTGACTGGATATTCGTCTGCTCCACGTTGACCGGCCTGGCCACATTCGCTAGTTCGTCTGAAACATTATTTATATTATTGGCGTGTGGTTCCAGTATAGATTGAGCCACCCCTTTCCCGTGGACGTCGTAAAAAGCGACTAAGGGACCAGAAGTTCCACAACCCATATTAGTCCTTAATCTTTGATTGCCATTATCCCAAACGTTTTTGACAAGTGAAGATGCCTCATTTAGTGGTGATCAATCTTCGAATGTTGCCAGTCACACACATACTAATGGTAGTGGAATTAAACAAAATAATCCTAATTAAATAACCAAAAATAAAATGCTAACCTATGAGTGAACTCGCCAGATCCTCATGAAGGAACCCGGGCTCGTCACCTGAGCCTTCCACGTCGATCTCGTCCGGGGGCGTTCTTAACGTACAGTTGGCGCGCCATTCATAATCGCAACCCTGAAATTAATAATAATATAATAATCTTTATTTGCTTAAACATGGTAAATCAAAGATGTTACATTAGTCACGTTGCTAGCAAAGCACGAGTGTTCTACTCGTGCTTTGCTAGCAACGTGATAGCAAATTTATTTAATTAACATTTTGTTTTTTGTCAATTTATTTAATATTAAGACTGGCAACACTCAAGATAATATCCAAAAATATGGAGGGATTTAACGACGTTCTATAGCAATTTTTTTTATACCACGAAGGTGGAAAAATAGTAATTAAAGATTGTATCTCAAAAACAACCAATTTCAAATGTGACAAAACGCATGTGTTTGACTCTAAAAACTAAACCACTGAACCGATTTTAATAACATTTCTATGTGACCAATCTGTAAGTATAGTAATATCCTTTCAAATAAAAAAAGAATATTCCAACTCGGTTCATAATTGACGGAGTTATGAAGTAACAAACATAAAAATAATCTTTTTTGTAGTCGGTCAAAAGTGGTAGATGGTAAAGGCGCAAAAGCAATATTTGCCATTAGTGTTGCCAGCTTACCAGCAATTGTTATCGACAAATGCCTGTAACAGTACTCACCTGAAGTTCGAAGTCGAAGATTAGTCCATCTGGACAGACGAACGGCACTTCTTGACCGTTCGAGCAGGAATAGAACGCATTACAATCGGTATAACTGGGAAGAAGCAGGAAAATCTGTAAAGAACAATCCTATTTAAAAAAGTTGCAAGCGGGATAGAGGAATTATTAGTAATGGGGTCTAACTGACCCATTACTAGCAATATGCCCTATCAGGTCGACCCTGTCATCTCTCCTGTCATTCCTCACTGGTGCCCCGCCAGCGTATAACGATAGCGCGAGCAAGATTACCATTCCATTATCACCCTTTAAAAAAACGATTGCAGCAAAACAAAATTTGACAGTTGACACAAGATGGCGCTAAAATCAAGATCTATGGTCACAAATCAAGATGTGTGAAAATTTGTGATGGGAAATATTAATACCGTTCCAATATGGTTCTTTTGGACATTGATGACAGAAAAAAGGTCATTACCTATTCTGATATCGCTCGTACCGGTCGAATAATATAATATTGTATAACGGACATTTCACATATTCGTTATTAGGCTAGTATATAATATATTGTAACTAAAATAGATATTGATGTAATGCAATGTTCAGAGAAACCCAATATATAGATCCAATATCTATATATTGGGTTCCTCTGGAGATTGATGATGGTAAAAGGTCATAACCCATTGCGATATCACCCATATCGGTTGGATATGTATTTTAAAAGACTATTATCCAATATTATTTTTTGGATAACAGACTTTAAGCATATTCTACGTTGTATCAGTATATAGATTTTGTAACTAGAATATATAGATATTGCTGTACTAGATACTTGTTACCTACCCCCTAATCTAAAGTAATAATTACTTAATTGCCTAGTTTGTAATTAATTGGTAATCAGGATTTGATGATGGAGTCAAAAATGGTTTATTGAGGATTTTAAATTAATTACTCTACCTGTCCGTCTGGATCGCAGGACACTGTGTTCGGGTCCACGCCTCTCATGGGTCTGTATATTTCGATGGATGCAGCGCTCGCAGCCGCTGCCAGTATCAAAACGAAGCTCAGTTGGCCTGTAACAAGGCAATTAGTAATTAAATAACAGCCCTAACAAGATATGTATTTATTTATTTATATATTTATTTATACATTAACGCATTCATGTATATAACATAGAGTTGTTACAATGTTCTTATAAAGAATAAGTACATGAACCCTGTTTGAGTGTAGCAAAGTTTAATCCATAGATTGCTAATACACATGCATCGTGGTCCATGTGTCCTCGACATAGAATATGCCACCCCTTGCTTTCACGTAGGTGTCGTAAGCGGCGACTAAGGAAGTGCGAGGGAGGGGTAATAGCGTCCCTCTTAAGACATCGCTAAAGCCTAACTGTTCTTGCCGACCAGCTTGCCAAGTATGACAACTACTTACATACTTTCTACATAAACTGTGTCGAATATATAATCTAGTAATGTAAAATTTATTATTGACAAACAATTGACATATCAAATATTTTCTACACACTAGCCTGCTGTGAATTGAGAAAAATAGCTACTGATGGTGTGTCTTTTGTCCTTTTTTTACAAACTATATTTGCGTAAGAAGAATAGAGGCGACCGTATGATTTACAGTTTTTATTTTATCATGTAATTCCTTGTTCTTAGACTACTACCACGGCATTATGACGGTATTTTTTACATATAAAGAGACAAAGGGAAGAAAGACCATTGAACTCAAATAAAATTAGTAGTTTGAATATAAATTAATTTGAATTTGGCGCGCATTCGCAGTTAAATCGGATTTAAAAAATGGTATCTGTCATTTGAGCAAATTTCTAGCTTAGATTAAGAATGTAGTACGTTATACTAAGTCTATGGTTTCCTTATTAGAAAGACGGAAAAGATTTACTTGTAATTAATATAAATTGTCTAATTTTTTTTTTCAATTTATTAAATAATAGTATAAAATATTATGCCTCTTTTCAAACAAGTTTTCTAAAAATTTATATATACTAAGAGTAATAACTGTTTGTTATAAGTAATTGTGTTTAATAAACTTAATTGCTTTTAAAAACAACACAAGAAAGCTTTTTTTTTTTCACATGGAAAAGTATTTGTAAATTAAGTGCACATTGAATATTAAGTATATGAATATTAAAAATAACAATTACCGACTCAAATGAATTTATATCGAATCGTATGATAATTTTTTTAATTACCAAAGGTGGAGTCGTCAGTAGCGATCAAAGAATTTAATAATTACTTATTAGTAGTAGATAAATATCTACTAATTACAATAATTACCCACTTATACAGTAACAAAACAAAACAATCTGTATAATATAAATCAATACATTTTTGCATCGATAAAGAATATGGAAAATTTAACTACATTTGTAGAATAATCATGATAAAGTTTGATAATCTGTCACAACAATCACAACAATATGTGAGGGCATTGCACTTGTGACATTTGTTTTTTGTCTATACCTACTAAAGGCCTGAGAACAAGGAATTATATAGGAGTAATGAAATTGTAAATTCACAGCAGGCTAGTGTATAGAAAAACTTATACGGCCGTATAACCCTACCAAATTCAGATACAACCCGCTTGCATACTTTCTACATAAACTGTGTCGAATATATAATCTAATAATATAAAATTTGTTATTGTCAAATATTTGACGTATCAAACATTTTCTATACACTAGCCTGCTGTGAATTAAGAAAATAGCAACTGAGGGTGTATCTTTCGTCCTCTTTTTACTAATAATATTTGCATAAGAAGAAAAGAGGCAACCATATGATTTACAGTTTTTATTTTATCGTTCCTTCTATGTAATTCCTTGTTTTTAGCTAAGAGCGAAGTAGGCAAAGGCGAAACAGGAAAACTGCCATGTGGAATTGGTGATATAACCAGTATTTTTTTTATACAACTTACAATAACAAACAAGTTACGGCCCACCTGATAAAACCTATAGACAAACAGCTCCATGATCTTTACTATATATACTGCGATAATCATGATACCCTTTATACATTTTCTTAGAGCAATTTCACTACCATATTTCACCTTTCAAATCGCAATACAACCATGTAAGCACTTCACGGTAGAAACACGAGTGCGATAGAGATACTTTTGTACAAAATCTATTTTATCTTAGCAAAATATTTGAATGTGATGTAGACCCAAAAAACTAATAGGATGAGTCATAAATCACGATCCAAAAGTATTTTTATATTACTTTTTTTATTCTTAGGGAGGTAATCGAACAGACGGACCACCTGATGAAAAACAGCGATCGTTGCAGCGTTGTTGTTGTATATTTGCTATACTTGCAACACGAGAGAAGTGCCAGTATATTACTAGTCTTTTAAATATTCATAGGCACGTTTTAAAATGACGAATAATGTAATGGCCCACGTGTGAGAAGCGGTGACCTTAATCTATAGATATGGACAGCACCATTTCACGACAGTTACTATTTCGCGATTTCCGCGTGTACAGTTTTTAGTGGTAGATTTATATGCAAAGTATTCTATGATTAGAATTTAGTTTGTAGGCAGAACATTCTTTTTTTTAATATTAAAATTTCTTCCATTGTTTTCATAAATTGACAGATAATTACGATGTTGCCACACTACGGAAAACTAAAGTTACGAATACCTACTGTTAACATGTTATTCGTTAGATGTTTTGTTACATTTAAAATCATTGTTTTTATAGGATAAAATATTTATTTATTTAAAATTTAACTAATCAAATGTGGTACAAAAGGCGAACTTATTGCTATAGACATTCTCTATCAATTAACCTTTTGGATTTGCAGTAATACTCGATGGCGGTTTAAAAATAATGTATATTAAAATATACGTACTTACTGGGGGAAAGAGATTATTAGTAATAAATATCTAACAAACCCATTACAAAAAATATACCCTAACAGATCGACCGCCATTCGGTTTTCCTGGACACCATCGTAATTTAATTTTTGACGAATTCATCACGATGAGCCAACTGTCTTAATTCATTCTTACCTATTATTTCTCACTGGTACCTCGCCAGCATACACCGATAGCGCGGGCAGGGTTACCATTCCATTTTCATCCATTAAAATAAAAAAAAAAAAACCTATACCTATTTACTTTTATCTCAATATCTCTAACCACGTAGACAATAGATAGGTATCTATAGGTACATATCACCCAATCTCAAATCAGTAATCAGCTAATACACAAGCCTATAATAAATCGCGCGTAAAAATCAAGATGGAATCACTGATAATTACCTATCTTTTCCTAACTACAACGCGGTATTTCCAAATTAATTATCGTAGTAGATATTTATCAGCGACAATTGTGTAGTTTAAAACTATTTTTACGTCATTACAGGCTTAATTTACGAAGATTGATTGATATATAAATGATTAAAATCAATAATTAATTTTTTGCCTTAATTTTTACCCCCACACGATGTTTTTAATCATCGTGTGAAGGTAAAAAATTACGGCTAAAATGCAGAAATATTAGGTATAATTCAAAACAGAGGTTTTTTTTTTTTTATTAATATTAACATAATGTATTCTTTATTCTTTATTGTACACAAAAGGTTTTGAAATGTAAAAACAAACATAATAGTGCACAAGGGCGAGCTTATCTCCAATAGAGATTTCTTCCAATTATTCCAATAGAGATGTGTGTAGTAAGAATAATGAAATGGATATACTTAATAGCAGCAGCAGTTATATTTATAAGAAAAACTATCGCTAATTATTAATTCAGTGATTTTAACAATGTTTAACCTGTATTTGCACACTTTGCCTAAACTGTGACCAATTCAGTTTTCGTTAACTATATGTGGTAGCTTTTAATTAGCTTATTGTTATCATATATACATATTTAATTATTAAGTTATTATAGCTGTAAGCTACCCTCAAAAATAATAAATAAATAATATAATTGTAACTAGACGATGACTGTATATGGGAAATATTTATGAATAACTGATATGACGAGAGTAATAAAAATAATAATTTTCACAAACGCGGAACAAACATACAGACAGACAGTTCTGCTTCTCCTTATATTTGTTCTAAGTCTGTCTGCATCAAGCAAAAACTAACACCTACATACATACATAACTAGTATCTTATAACGCCATCTATTAGTAATTAACGTAAGTTAATTAACAGATAAAATAAAACAAATTATCTAAAGGAAAAGACTACATACTTATATACATAACTAATTAAATGATTAAAACAAATGAGGTATTAAGATATTACCATAAGACTGCCGATGTCCTACAGATACAGTAGTAGTAGTAGATACAAATCAAGAATTGATTAATTGAATTAATATTTTGATTTGTTACTATATACATTTTCCCTCATATTCATAGAAACGTCAAACTCTTCATTTTTTTTATACCACTGAGGTGGCAAACAAGTATACGGCCCACCTGATAGTAAGTGGTTACCGTAGCCTATGAACACCTGCAATACCAGAGGTATTACGCGTGCGTTGCCGACCCTAAAGAAATCTCTTTACCCCCTTTTGAAGAACCCCATGCTGTAGTCTCTTGGGAAAACCTCGACAGGGAGCTCATTCCACATCCTGAGTGTTCGTGGGAGGAAACATCTCTGAAACCGCGCAGTACGCGACCATTGAGGCTGTAGGACGTGAGGATGAACTCCCTGTCGATGGCGAGCCGTACGATGGTGAAAAGAAAGTGGCTGTGAGCATCATATTGAACAATTCCTCTGAGCACAATCCATTGTACAGGCGGTAGAACACGCAGAGTGAGGCAAAATCTCTCCTAAGACTTAAGGATTCGATACCGCTTGTGAGCCTGGGATCGTAGACCTACTTGAAACTATTAAACTGTTTTCTTTCTTTCTTTTTTACTATTTTTTTTTAAATTTGCAATTTAAAAGAAAGTGACAAAACAGTGTAATAGACAAAATAAGTTTATGGTTTTAGTTTTTATGACTATATTTTTTTTTAGATTATTATAAATTATCTGGCTGCATAATTATAATTAATTGCATTGCTGCAATACGCAACTGATTAAACGATAAAATAGAAGAGTTTAATTTAATTGCTTGTAAAATATTGTTTACTTGCGGGAACTTTGCTTTAGTCATAAAATAACACGCGTAGATAAATGCATGTGCATTATTTTTTTTTTTTAATACGACATATAATGATAAAATTTGATAAATTATACCTACTCCGTCTATCTTATTATGGCGTCGGAGATATAATAGATGTCTCACTACTTCACTGCGTGTAATTTGATTATCAATTAATTAATTTATTTAATCTTATGTGTAGTCGAGCTTTACAGGTTTTCAATAGGCTTACTTAGGAAAATATCAATCAGTACTGTTTTTTATACCACTGAAGTGGCAAACAAGCGTACGGCCCATCTGATGGTAAGCGGTTACCGTAGCCTATGAACACCTGCAATACCAGAGGTATTACGCGCGCATTGCCGACCCTGAAGAAACCTTTTTACCCCCCTTTTGAAGACTTAATATTACTTATAAGAATAAATACTGTAATAAAAATACCAACAATTTATTATTAGCTTTAAATTTGATAGTTTTTAATAATATTTATTATTATTGTTTCAGCCGTTTACTGTCATAAGCCTTCCCCATAAGGGGAGTTTTGTCAGTAGTTGCCACGTTTGGCAGGCGGGTTGGCAACCACAGTGTTTTTTAAATGGTAACCCCGCCTGCGCTATCGGTATACACTGACGCGGCACCAGTGAGGGGTAATAGGTGAGGATGAAAGCAGGTCCACTAGCCCATCGTGACTAATTCCACTACAATTTACCACGATAGTTTCCAAAAGGAACCGCGTGGAGGTCGACCTGATAAGGTGTATTGCTAGTAATGGGAAAATTAGACCCCATTACTAACAATCCCTTTCCCCCCGATAACCACAGTTAGGCTTTTAGAGATGTTTAAGGCGGGACGCTGATGCCCATCTCTCGCCCTCCCTTAGTCGCCTCTTACGACACCCACAGGAAAGGAAGGGGTGGCCCATTCTATGCCGACATACACACGGCGAAGAATAATATTTAATAATAGGCAATTTCAATAGAATTTAATAGAACAGTTAACGAGTTTTGTCGAAATTATTGCAAGAATACTGTCTAAATAAAATTAGTAACAAATCAAAACATATAACTGACTAATTGGTTTTTTTAACCAGTGATGAATGTAAGTTAGTTGGCTCATCGTGATTAATACACCGCGAAGATTCGCTTAATAAGTATTAGCAATATTAATGTAATGGCTGTTAGACACCATTTTTAACAATAACTTCCCTCCATAAATTCAATAAATACATTAAACAGTGACATAGCGCCCTCTAGTCCTAAAATAAGCAAAACTCGTACTTTATTCCGTGAAAAAATATGTGAAAAGACAAATTTAATGTGAGACTAACACGAGAATTAACGAAAGCAATTAGTGAGAAATAACAACCTTCTCGCAACATTTTTATTTTTTTTTATTTTACTCGTACTTAATGCTGTGGTAGTTATTTTATATTCAAACAATCCGTAACATCGTTTCCATTTCAAATTCCTTAATTAAAAATAAAATTAGAACTAATTCTTATGCCTACTTTTAAAAGCGGCAAATTCATGCTATATAAGGAATTTTTCCTGTTCCGGCTTCTGATCGTACCTACAATTCATATCAGTAAATACTATAATTATCATACGAATATTTATTTTTTTTTTTATTTTTTTTTTTTTTTTTTTTTTTTTTTTTTATTTTATTTTATAAAAAAATCCACAGCTCTTAAAAAATAACTTACATGCTAAGTCTCTTATGAATACAGCCAATAACGGATTTTACTTATACAAACAAAAATTATGATTCCATAGCGAGGTAGGCAAGTTAGAGTGGGTGTATGCAAGTAATATAAGCACATGTATGTAAGGAACCCATATATAATAGTGAGTGTCCATAAAGTTAAGTTAATTGATATATAAAATAATTAAATTCATGTTGTTAAAATTCAAATATTGACAGCAATGATTAAATAATACAAAATCATGGTCACCAATTGTAAAGAGGGTTAAATGTATGCGTGGGTGTATGTGTAGCGTGATATAAATAAATGTAAATATATGCAACATAGGTAATTATGATATTATTTCATCCATTATCACAGCCCTGAATTTATATCTACTGAGGTGGAATAAATCCACTGTTGAAAAAAGTTTGTTATATGAATTCATTAGACGACAAACTATTGAGTTCTGAGAGTAATTGGTATGGTTGGTTGGAACTGCAAAAAGAGGAGGATTTCTGGTACGGATTTTAGGAGTACGGAGACGCAACACGTTACACACAAGATCCGGGCAGTCTATACCATTATTACAAATATCTCTCAAGAACATCATATCAAGAAGAGAACGCCTATCTTCGAGAGAAATAAGATTGTACTTCTTACACATTTCATGATAATCAGTACTAGTGCTTCTTGTTTTATAATTTAGATGTTTTAAGAATTTTTTCTGAATGTTTTCTAACGTCTGCTTATAAATTATATAGTTTGGGTTCCATATTATGCTGCAATACTCTAAAACGCTTCTTACATAAGATAGATAAAGAGTTTTTATACAATCAATATCCGAAAATGGTCTGGACACGCGAAGAATGAAGCCTAAATTTTTGTATGCCTTATTAGAAATCGAATGAATATGTTCCGTAAAAGTAAGTTTTGAGTCGAGTAATACGCCCAGATCACAAACAATTGCAGATTTTTTTATTAGTATACCATTAATTGAGAATGAATATTTCACAGGTTTTGTTTTTCGTGTAAAACTAATATGCTGACATTTAGCTACGTTGAGATTGATTTTGTTTGTTCTGTAGTATAAGTTCAAGCGGTTAAGATCATCTTGTAGTAATTTACAATCATGACTATTATTAATTTTCATATAAACCTTCGTATCATCAGCATACATCAAAAACTTTGCGTTATATAAATGATCAGCTATGTCGTAGAGGTAGGCTAGGTACAATAAAGGGGCAAGAATTGAACCCTGAGGGACCCCAGATGGGACAGATATGTAATCTGAGCGATGACCTCCGATTGTAACGGCTTGTGATCTATTGCGCAAGTAAGATTTAACCCATCTCAACAAGCAACCATGTATTCCAAGCTCCTGGAGCTTACGTAGTAAAATTAGATGGTCCACCCGGTCAAAAGCTTTCTCAAAATCTGTATAAATTGCGTCGACTTGTCCCCCATTATCAATATCTCGCATGACGTCATATGTAAATACTCCTAAATTAGTATTTGTGGAACGTCCCTTCACAAAACCATGTTGTTGAGTTGGCACAGAGGAAGTTATTAAGGGGTACATGTGATGATGAACTGTTTTTTCCAAAGTTTTTCCTAAAACATTGAGCTTCGAGATTGGTCGATAGTTCTCTATAGCTGTTTTTAGACCCTTTTTATGAACTGGGACTATCAAAGCCATTTTCCAAATTTTAGGCATATAACCATCTTTAAGGCATTTATTAAAAATGTAAGTAATTGGAATAGCTAAGGACTTTGCACATTTAATAAAAAATATTGGAGGAATTCCATCGCTACCAGCACCCTTTGATTTGGATGATTCACATCCAATTTAGATAATAATTTTTCTACATAAAGAGGAGAGACCTCGATAGTATGAAGTACATTGGAGTCTCGAGATGTGCCTGGTAATTCGTTATTATTTCTATCAGGGTATTGAAAATTTTTGTCGAAAAAATCATTGAAAGCTGCACATATAACCTGTTCATCGTTCAGTTCAACATCACCATAGGTCATTATTTTAGGATAATTGCCTTTGTGGTCTTTTTTAGATTTCACGAATTTCCAAAAATTTTTGGTGTTTCTTTTAATGTTTATTTGAGAGTTTTCTATAAATTTCTTATAACAAATATCTACAAGAGTTTTTTGCCTAGCTCTTAGTTCAGAAAATGTAACATAATCAACAGGATTACCGTATTTTTTCCAGTTACGATGAGCTTTAGATTTTTCTTTAATCAGATTTATTAACGGTTTATTATACCAAATAGGATATTGGTATGACCCAGAACTGTATCCCTGAGGAACATAGATATTTATGGCGGTATTAAGAATGGTATAAAATTTCGCAGTAATATCCTCTATGTCAAAAGAATCATATAAACAAGTCCAATTCTGTGTAGAAAAATACTTGTTCAACGACTCAAAATCTGATTTAAAAAAACTGATACCTTTTCTGTTGACGAGGTTTGAAGTATGGTATCTTAATATTGCTCGCATTAATACTTAAGGCTGGGTGAAAAATATCCTCAGGCACCAATGGGTGGTAGGCTTTAACAACATCTATAGAAAAATTAGAGAATGCCAAATCGAGCGTGTTGTTGCATGAATTAGTTAGAGTATTATATTGCTTAAATCCTCGAAACATTAGATGCTGCATGAAATCAATCGCAGAGGTCTGCAAATCTACAGAGCCATTTTTAATAAAAGTGGGTCCGTGAACATCCCATCTAACACAAGGCAGATTAAAATCTCCCGCCAATAAAAATAGGTCATTAGGATTGTCGTCAATTACTCTATCGAGCATTGCTGACAATTGTCCTAGATGTGTCGGTATATTCTTATCGGGTGGTAGGTAAACAACTAAAATGTGTAGGTTACGAGCAATTTTGAGAGAATGAGAAGGTATCGTTGTCCAAATACATTCTATACCGGCAATCGCCCATTCAGGTCTTGCGCGTGCGTTTAAATGCGATGCACAGATGATCATTACACCACCACCGAGCGATCCACGGTCCCGACGAAAAATATCATATTTACTGTCACAAAGTTCGCTATTTAAGATCGCCTCACAAAGCCAGGTCTCTGTCACTAGTATAATAGCGTGATCTAAGCAAAAAGTATTTTTATAAAACGTATTTGTTTTGGTTCTGAGTCCCCTAACATTTTGGTACAACAACTGAAGCTTAATATTATGTTTTTGCGCCATTTTTAATAAAAAAAGAAATATTGCCATAATTACGGTATATCCTGTTAATCACTATATAAATTAATAACATACAATAGTAGTTTACTGTGTGAAGTACAATATACAAGGGTGCAATACACAGCGTTTTTATCCAAGATAGTAGTAATCTATATGAAGTTAAAATCAATGCTAGACATCCGGGGGTAGGGTTATGCGATATAAAATTCTGGCGTGTCATAATATGCATAAACGTTTCTACGGAACTTTTAATTATGTATATATGTGTGTTCAGATGGCGTTGTACATATAAAATAAGCCTACAATAACATAATTCAGCAGTAAATGTTCCGATATAATATTTAGTTATGTATATATGCATATTCAGACCAGTTCTCGGTATATTAATCATGTTTATTAGTTTAATAAGTTGAGTGTGAATAATGTTAGAACAGTATATGTAATATATAAAAATAATTGAGTTTTGAAATCCCTGCACAATATGAACATATGTATAATTTGTCAGAATATAATAACAAAAAGACCACTCAAATCGGTTGCGAGACTCGACAATTATACGAAAAGTTATATAGAACATAGAAAAAATGAAATATTTCGTTGTAAAACAGATCTCGAATAATTGTTTGTACAGAACTATAATTAAGTTATTTTTATTAAATCCGCTTGTATAGTGATAGGTATAGGTGGGGAGCTCTCGTTTTTTCTGATGTAGATTCTGCAGTTTTTTGTCCAAACGAATTTGTAATTCATCTCCCTTGATTTCTGCTTACACTCCCGTAATAGTGCTTTGTTTGTTCTAGTCAGATGTTCGTTTACATATATCTTATCATTTATACTTCCAATGCCGATGGCCTCTGCTGTAATGTAACGAATCTTTCGGGCTGCGGCTATCACTGCGTCTTTAGTGGAACGCTGTTTAAATCGTGCAACTATGGCGCGAGAATGTTGTGCAGAACCTGTGCGATATGGCTGAATACGATGTGCAAACTCAACATCAGCAGCCTTAACTGGTGCTCCGATTCGTTCCGCTACCTTCATCACAACTTCCAGATCGGTAGTGGTTTTGCATTCTGGAACACCAGTGATTTCGATATTGTTGAGACGTGACCATTGTTGCTGGCGCATATTCTCTGTTTCTAGCTGTTTAATACGCGATGCACATGTTTTAAGGTCTTCCCGGAGGCTTTTATTCTCCTCCGATAAACATTTCAATTCATTTTTATTCGCCATAAGTAGTTTGGTCATTTCATCGTATTGACTGCTTATGAAAGTCAAAGATGTATCCAAATCGGTAAGTTTTTCCTTCAACGGTTGCAATTCGGCTGAAAGAATTTGTTTTAGTTCTTCCTTCAAGATCAGGCGGAGCTCAGAACGTAACGAGTCTTGGTTGTTAAAAACGAGTGGGTGATTATTTGAAGATTTGCCTGGCTTCCTCTTGGTAACATTTTCGAAGTCACTATCTGTTGGTGTCTCCGAGTCGTCCACTCGCCTTAATGGGGTATTTGAATTGTCACCTTGACGCGGCTCTTTACAACACGTCCAGGATTTATGGCTTCTCAATTTGTCAGGTGTTATATTCACGCATAGAAGGTGATATTGTTTTACGCAACTTTTACGCGTACATGTTATTCCCTCTGACGATTTAATCAACTTCATACAAGCAGAACAATTCATCATTTTGCACAAATTGATAAAATAGGAAAGTATAAATAAACAATTTTATTGAATTCAATGACGGTACATCGACAATACAAAAAACCGCAATGGCAGTTAATGTGAGTTCAGCTATTTTGGCTATTATTAGATACCGGCCAACAAACAATGTTACACTATTGTTGTTTCAACTTATAACTTGATATGTAGTTGTAAAGTAGGTACGTACAAATGCAACAAAGCTACAAATCACTAAATAGACACGTTAATATTTATTTAGAATTACAAACACAACCACTCTCCAATACTACCCAACGACAACTTGAAATATAAGATATAAGATATTATCGTTTTTCGGTGCATTAGTAGGTAAACAATATGCAATATACCTAACACTGTACACAAATACGGAGTCTATAAAACGCTAAACAAACTGGCCACGATAAAACTTATATCTGTCTACTGAATCTAAGAAAGCATAAACATGTTTATACTTTTTCTGAGCCTACTTAATATTAATACAATATTATAAAAACAATGGTGTCTCAGCCAAATTGAAATTTAGAATATTATTTTTTATAATGTTTTATACCATAAAATTCATTATTTTAATTGCCTTGCTATCAGTGATATTTCATAATATATGTACATCTACCTTCATTCCATTTATTTTGATTTTTCTGAACAAAACCTATATAAATGTATATATATATATTTTAAATTTACTTCTCTGTTTAACCTGCTAATTACAGCCAACTGTTATTACATTTATACTCGCCGTCGTGAAGAAAAGTTATTAATAATTTATTAAAAACTACTAAAACTACCACAAAAATTAGTATACCATATTTATATGTAGTCTATAGTTACGCAATAATTTATTTTTTCTGTGGTCATGTCATAGCGAAGAAAGGAAATGTTACAGTTCCAGGATTGCCAAATTAATTTATAAATTCCACCTTTTAATGTAAATTATTTTAAGATTAGTTGCAGAAAAAATATTTAATAATAAGTTTGAGTAAAATAAAAGTAATAAGGAAGCCAGCCAGTAAAAGTTACAACAGATAGTGAATTGGTTTATTTTTACATAAATTATGTTTTCTTAATATAAATTAAACTGCCAATAACAACTTCATTATTTTCGAATCCTACATATTCACTTAAATCAGAAAATATCACTATAAAAAATCACCTTCACAATTATGTTTTATAATAAGTCTTTTTATAACTTATTAAGATAACAAAAGATCATAAATATGTTTATCACATATTTTATTACATAGTCACGACGATTTCCTCAATAAAATAAAAAATACTATTATTAAACTCTATAAAAATAATAATTTAAATTTGCCATGTTATTTTTAAATTATCTAATCTTTTTTTAATACATACTAATTTTTATTTATTTATTTTTATAAAATTAGAACTGGGGAAATAGTTTTACATATTGGCTACACTACGGGTATATTTTCTATAATTGCTCAGACGCGACGGACGCCGCTTATTGAATTTCTTTCACCTTTCCTTAACTTTTTTATCGGTTTTATGAAAACAAAAAGTGTAATTAATTACAAAATATGTCGTCCGATTCCGAGGACGATTGTTATGGAAACATCGCACAGAGACTGCAAACTTTAAAAAACAAATACAGAGACGATAAAATTGAATGTTCAAATCTTTTAAACGACTCTACAAAATCAACAAACGAATTGGATGAAATTGTGAATAAAGCTGCTATTCCTGCTGTATGTGAGATCAAAGATAGTCCAGAAGTGGTTCAGACTGTCGAAATTACCGATGATAAGGAAACCGAAGATTTCATTGATAATTTGTTAGCCACTACATCTACTAGAGTAACGCGGGCTGGCGCGAAAAAAAGAAATTTAAATATTAGTGTTCCAGATTTAAATTCAAATCATTCAAGGAAAAAGAAACGCGGGAGTAACGCGGTACAATCGAACATAGATGAAACACGATCTTCTAATACAGAGAATGTTATAATACAGACAAATAGAAGCAGAGGAAGGAGCCGCGGTCAGAGTGGATCGAGGACTAGTAGAGGTAGAAGAGGCAAGCGTCAGACAGATTGGTCATCTCAAGCAATTCCTACGTATAGTGTTGGTAATACTGATGAATACCCAGATCAAAGCAACGAGCAACAATTATTTAGTAATGTCAAAAGCAATGATGTAGTTATTATTGAAGAGGAAGACCCATTAGACGACAACGAGGAATTGTCCGTTAAAGTCTATTGGCAGAATTCGGAGTTTTTCAAATTCCCAATACGTAAATATCAAAAATTGACACAAATATTCAATTACTTCTCCAAAAAAGAGAATATTAGTCATGATAAACTGTTACTTACTTATAATGATCATGTTCTAAAGCCCACTGATACGCCCGACTCTATAAAATATAACATTGTTAAATTCATTGATGGTGGTATCGTTAATCAGAGTGTTTCGAAATTGACAACGAAAGAAAAGGAAAAAATCACAGAAAACGGAGTCAAAATTAAATTCCAATGTCAGAATGTTAAACAGCCATATGTGACAACGATACAATGGGAAGACAAGTTATCGTTGGCTATGACAAAGTGCTCAGAACACTTTGAATTACCATTAGACAAGTTACGTTTCGAATTTGATGGTGATACCATATCAGGTAAAAACTATTGTTTAATTTTATATAATTTGTAAATGTTTTTAGTAATAAAATTTATGATATTGATTAAAAAGAATTTATCAAAATAAAAAAAATGGTAAACAATTGACAAAGATGTCATGTAAGTTACATAAAAAAATACAATTATATTTCTTTATACAATTTTTAATTTGAAGACCCATAGACTTCACACTATACACTAATATCTATGGTATCTTTATATCTCCAATATATCCCAGATCGACCTCCATGCATGTCTCCATGCATGCATCCATGCATGCCTGGGTTGCCTATGCAACTTAGAATGGCAAACAAGCTGATTGTCCCACCTGATGGAAAGTGGTAACCGTCGTCTACAGACATGAGCAGGACCATAGACTAGTACTAGCTATACTATATTCCTCTATACCCTGTAAATTTGCTGCCATATCCCACCCTTCAAACCAAAACACAGCCATGCAAACATAACTGCTTCACATTAGAAATATGAATGATCACAATTCTTCTTCTGTCCTGCTTCATTCTCACCTATCATCCCCTGCTGGTGCCCTGTCAGTGTATACAAATAGCGTATGTGGGGTTACTATGTTCCTCACATTGATTTAATAAATTATTTAAAAGGACATTTCCTACGAACCTGGTATAGATAGTTACCAAGTATGCCTTAACACTTTGCCTTAAATTTTTTTTTAGGTAAATCCACACCCAAGGAACTGGAGTTTGAAGGTGGTGAATGCATTGATGTAAAGGTGATGAGCTGATAGTTGATAGGATAATTATCGAAATGTGTTCAAAACTTTTTTAGGAAAATACCTATAAAGGTAATATACCTACAAAAATGGGTTCATATATTTTGGGTGAACATATACCCCAAAATTAGAGGTAATGTACAAATTGAAGAATTATACAAATCTATTATTTTTCCAAATATAAATAACTTTTACCCCATTGGGGTACATCAGTGGAAATTTTAGTTAATGCAGTAAATATAAGATTTTGAGCCAAATTGTTACTGTCCCTAATGTGATAAAACAATCATCCAGTGGCTACACTATATTGTTTTATTTTTAATGTTTATAAAAATGTATCCATTTTTTAGTACCTGGGACACATGTTACTATACGACAGGCCGTATGCTTATTTCTCACTGTTGTAATATAAACAGTAAGTTTTTTATTTTTCTTTTACTTTTACTTATTATGGTATAAGTATTTAGAAAAAAAAATACAAAACACTTAAATGGCTTTAGTGTACCCCATTTCATCATTTCATTATGGTATTTCATTACCGTGCTTTCGGTTTAAATTATTTTGTGAGATATAATTGTGCTAGCCCTAGAGGTACCACCATACCCACCTAAACTTACTGCCATAGAGTTAGTCTATAATAAAGTCGAATAACTCAGAGTAGATACAAATTTTGTGATGAATCAGAAAAATTGTATATAAATATGTAAAAAAGCAACATTTCATTTGTTATAATAATTTGAAATTATCCCATCTTTATTTAGGATGACTACTATCAATTAAATCTTTAATTTTAAAAAACTATAATTTGCAATCGAATTATATCTAATATTGAAAGGGGGCGTACCCCCAATTGGTATTCGGTGACCCCACTTTTAAAAGGGGTAATTAAATGCCAGACCTATAATTTTAATTGTAAATACCATTTTTATCTATTGAATCGTAAAATAATTGTACATTGTATTAATTTTAATTAAATGTAGCAGTATGTAAAACTATTAAGTGATTAATTAAAATGTATATGAGATACGTTTTCGAGAGCAATATGTACCTAAATAGATAATATTGTTTCAAATGTAAATGTTTTTGTTTTTTTTTTTTTATTAATAAAAATATTTGATACAAACAGTTTTTTATCATTTATATCAATTTTTATCTATTGTTCACGAAACATTTTTTTTTTAAATATGAATGTAAATAATTAGTCACATTGAGATTGCTGAATTTTTGTGGGGAAATTTTTTTTTATCGTAATAGTTGGTTTTAATGTAATAATAGGTGTTTTAAAATCACAATAATTGCTTGGTCTTCAAGCTAGGATATGAAGAAATGAAAAAAGAAGGCTAGAAATGTTTGTTTGAAAAAAATCTTGAGAGTACGAGTACAACCCTGATGATTCCACGAATACAAGTTTTTAAAGGAATATTAAACTTAGCCTCTTATGTATATATATACATTTACGGAAAAGAAAGGGGGGGGGGGGCTACTCTATGCCAAGACCACATGAAAAATATTAAATTTGTATTATTACAGTGCGATTGAAAAAAAAAATCTACTTAATTTAAATCAAAATTAACATAATATATGCTTACCAATCATATTTATTTCCAATAAAAATATAACACAAAATAAACAATAATCACAATGCACAATTACTATTTGCTAATGGTTTAAGACAGGAGAGCAGTCCAGCTGTATCACTGTCTGGCTGAATATTAATCTATGGTAGATTTTATAGACCCTGTTTTTTATATTACAAATATAATCTTTCATTTAGATAACACACGCTAATTCCAATAAAGCGCTCTATATCGTCGAAATACAATAAATATCACGATTAATATCAGCAATAAAAACTTTGTAAAGATAACACTAGGAAGAGATGTTAATTTATCTATGATTAATTAACGTCGTCCGATTAGAATTTGATAAATCGATACGTACAAGTTTAAGGTCTTAGAAAATTTGTACTACTTAATAGAAAGTTTGCCCATAATATGTAATAATGTTCAGAACGATCGCGTATACACTGATAAAAGAGTGAAGGGAAAATCTATCAAAGGACATGCATAAACATCTGTAAATTGAATTGAAAATGTATGCAATAAAATTTTAAAAAAATGCTATTTATAAATAGTAAAACGTATGTTAATTCATAATACATTTTTTTTTATTTTGCAATTATATAATTTGAATGGTCGCGTACACCACGGTTTCAGAGATGTTTTCTCCCACGAACACTCAGGTTATGGAATGAACTCCCTGCAGAGGTTTTCCCAAGGGACTACAGCATGGAGTTCTTCAAAAGGGGGGTGAAAATATTTCTCCAGCGTCGCAACGCGCGCGTAACACCTGTGGTATTGCAGACGTTCATAGGCTATGGTAACCGCTTACCATCAAGTGGACTGTATGCTTGTTTGCCACCTTAGTGGTATAAAAAAACTAATATCAATTGTTTACCGATATTATTTTACCTCTTTCTTGTATATCATTGTTTTGGCATAATACGCATATTTATAACAAATTATTATTGTCAACCGTATACCGTGTTTTTGAACAAGTAAAAAACATGATTAAAAGCTTCCAGAACAGATATTAAATTTTCCATTACTGCTTCAGGCAAACATACTCAGTAAAAAAAAGTCTATAAGTTGTATAGTCATCAACCGCCCCCAATCTTAATTTTCTAAGGATTCCGGATGATCTTGTAACTAGTCGAGATTTCTCGACTAAAATGCACGTTAATTAATCCGGTTGTTATTACATTAAAATATAATGTATACTTACAAAACTTTCAATAATAAAGCCTCAATTTTGCCGATTTGTTCGAATCATAGTTCGTCTCCAAATCGAGTATTATGTATAAGATGGGCTATGAAAGTTACCGAAGTAAAAGATATGGGTGGGTCCTTTTCACCTTTCAGAGTTTAAAAGCTAAGTTTGGTATTATGTTACCCCACTAGGGGTAACAGAATGCCAAACTTAGCTTTTTAGTATCGCTGGTACTGATTTAATGAAATTGTGTAAATATGTATCATTTATGCCAATGTGAGAGACAGGATTTTGTCCTGATAAGAGAAATAGACCCTGTACGTGGCACTGGGGACCATTACAATGTTATCCGGATGAAAATTACGTTATTTAGTGATAACGTAAAAGCATTATGCAACACATACTAACGATTTTGATCTTTCATCCTCACTTATGATGTTTTGCTTCCATACAGTGTACCGTGTAATTTCACTGCCATATGCTAAACTTCCAATCGGAAGCGAAGGGATTGTTGTACTCTATTAGGTCGACCTTTACGCGGTTCTCCCTGGCAATTATCGTGGTAAATTTTTATGTGTTCACCATGATGCTCCAATTGACCTGTTTTCACCTCACTTATCATCCCTCACTGGTGCCCCGCCAGCGTATACCGTTAGCGCAGGCGGGGTTACCATCGACTGGAGATCCGGGAGGGGAGCGGTGACGCGAAAGACTGCAACCGCGAGCCCTCGGTACCGGCACACGGCGCTGGGAGGAATACAGGAGTGTTTTTAGTGGGTAAAAATCCCACAGTACCCATCCGTCTTCCCGCCGGCAGATGGGTCTCTTTCTGAAGATTTTCACCCTAGTTAAAAAAAAAAAACAAAAAAAGGCGTGGTTACCATTCCACTTTCATCCCCCAAAAAAAGTAGTAAAAATAAAAAATCGATTTGGACAGTGCTCCTGTTATAATTACGACAAAACTTGATTTGCATTTTTATTAATTTCAATTGAAATAGACTGTAATTATGTGCCTACATTATACTTTATCTATGTTAACAACTACATCTAGATGTTATTGCCGTTGGCGGTGCCTCGTCGATCACAAAGCAACAATCAATGATACGTCACAAATAGATATGCCTATAAAGACATTAGGCGTAATTGTCTAGTTGTTTATCATTGTTTATCGATCGAAAAATATGTAATCTTATTTAAAACTATTTAATTTCGGCTACTGAACAACTATTAGAGTATGTTTAAAATATGTAAAATTTATATTTCTATTGATTATTATGTGATATAGTAATTTATATACTATCTTATAATTTATACATTTTACCAGAGGGAGACTTTGTACAAAAGTCGTTTGCTTGAGTACCTCTGTCCCATTCGTGTTTCCACCGTGAAGCAGTTGTGTTCGCATGGCTGTGTTTCGATTTGAAGGGTGGGATGTGGCAGTGAATTTACAGGGTACAGAGGAATAACATCTGAGTCCTCAGGAATGGCAACGCATGGGGTGTGTCATGGGCGAAACAGTATACTCTGTTATGTCCACGGTACTGCTCATGTCTATAGGCGACGGTTACCACGTTCCATCAGGTGGACCGTCAGCTTGTTTGCCATTCTAAGTCGTATAAAAAAAAAGTAATATGGCAACTCATGTGCGTGCAATAATATTTTTTTCCTTTCGGCCATATCATGCACAGATACAATCTGCCGTACAAATGTTGCTAACAATCTTTTAATCAAATCTAATCTAATGTTAATAATGACGGAATAATGATGAAATATTATGTTTTTTCCAAAGAAACATCTCTTAAATCTAATCTAATGTTAATAGGTAACATTAGAATAGATAATACACATTTTCTTTCAAATACATAAAGGTTTTTTTTTTTATTATTCTAAAAGAAGACGAGTAAAGACGAGAGATGCGATCTACTTGCTAAAGTTTCGACTGCAAGTTCCCCGTTCCAAGTCACTTCTCTGTGTGACGTCGGGGCGGGCGGTCGTGCGAGATGCATTCTGACATATTGTTTATTATATCCTACACCTTCCATACCAGGTTTGGGGGGGGGAAAGGGTTTTTTTTTTAATGGATGATAATGGAATGGTAACCCCACCCGCGCTATCGGTATACACCGGCGGGGCACCAGTGAAGGATGATAGGTGAGGATGAAGTAGGTCAGTTAGCCCATCGTGACGAATTCAACAAGAATTGTTCACGATGGTTTCCAGGGGGAACCACGTGGAGGTCGACCTAATAAGGCATATTGCTAGCAATGGGGCTGTCAAACTCCATTGCTAACAATCCCTTTCCCCCCGGGGGGAAAGGGATTGTTAGTAATGAAGATTAGCATACCCATTGCTAGTAATAAACCTTATCAGGTCGACCTCCTCGCTTTTCTCCTTGGAAACCATCGTGATTGATTTATTGTTCAATTTGACACTGACCTGCTTCATTTACGCCTATCACCTATACACTGGTGCCCTGCCAGCGTATACCGATAGCGCAGGCGGGTTTAACATTACATTATCATCCCTTAAAAAAAAATCTACCATACCAGAAGGACAGCATAAATATTCTGATGGAAGGTATGGTAACACGAAAGGGGTTGCTTGTGGAATGCCGTCCTTTCAAATACGGATGATTAATATATAGTAATATCTATATATTTTAGTTACAATAAATATATATTGGTCCAATAACGAATTTTTTTTTATACAACTTAGAATGGCAAACAAGCTGACGGCCCACCTGATGGAAAGTGGTAACCGTCGCCTATAGACTTGAGCATTTACCACATTCATTTATTCAACTTCGCTTCTCTTAAGGGCATATTTTTTTCTTTTTTTTTTTTTTACAACACAGGGGGCAAACGAGCATGCGGCTCACCTGATGGTAAGTGACTACCGCCGCCCATGGTCACCCACAACACCTACGGCATTGCAGGTGTGCTGCCGGCCTTTTAAAAAGGAATATGCTCTTTTCTTGAAGGTTATGTTGTCGTATCGGTTCGGAAATACTGCTGCTGGAAGTTAGTTATTAGTGTTTTATAATTGCTTGTGTATTTATATTGTTGATTTTATTACTTTTTTCACTATTTCAATTTTATATTCATTTTTTTATATTAATACCCGCCCACTATGTTATAACAGATTGTGAATTGTTAACCTTTGTCGGGTGCCCACGACTCAGTCTCAGCTAGTGTGGGGCCCATTGTATTTTGTATTTGTAACTTTATGCTTTTCGTCAAATAATAATAATAAATAAAAAAAAACGTAAATACAATAGTAATTTATCAAAACTATAATTCCACACGCTCGTTATCAATAACAAATGAAGTTTCTAAGCCGCAAATAATCGAATGTCTTCAGTACCTAATAGGTATTTATTTATTTATCACATTGTCTATTGTCGACGACCTATGGAACCGAATCATGGCCCCACACGAGCCGTATGCAAAAAAAATCAAGTTACTCGGCGAGCTATGGAGAGAGTTTTTTTTTAATGGGTGATAATGGAATGGTAACCCCACCCGCGAGGGGGGAAAGGGATTAGTTTTTTGTTTGATGGGTGAAAATGGTATGGTAACCCCGCCTGCGCTAACGGGATACGCTGGCGGAGCACCAGTGAAGGGTGATAGATGAGAATGAAAACAGGCCAGTTAGCCCATCATAATGAATTTATCAGGAATTAACCATGACAGTTTCCAGGGGGAACCGCGAGGAGGTCGACCTGGTTGGGTATATTGCTAGCAATGGGATTCTCAGTCTCCATTACTAACAATCCCTTTCCACCCAGGGATTAGAGTTTGACAGCCCCATTGCTAGCAAAATGCCTTATTAGGTCGACCTCCATCCTGGAAACAATTCTCGTTGAATTCGTCACGATGGGCTAACTGACCTGCTCCATCTTCACCTATCATCTTTCACTGGTGCCCCACCGGTATATACTCGTACCGACAGCGCAGATGGGTTTTTTTTTTTTAATGG